TCTCTGCAATCACTATACACACTACACAAACACACACACTTTGCGTTCACTATATATACACACTACACAAACACACTCTGCATTCATTATATACACACACTACACAAATACACACTGCCTCCACTACACACACACTACACAAACACACACAGCTCCCCTGTCTAAACACACTTCATCCACTACATGTGGCATGTATATTTTGTGCATTTACCTTTAGAATTAGTTTATTTTTTCAAAATGGTAAATGTACAGAATATCGGCAAGTTATCGGCTATCGGCCTGAAAGGTCACAGATTATCGGCTCTAAAAAAAATCAATATTGGTCGATCCCCAATAGCAGCCCTGGAAAAATTCTATACCAGCCCAATTATGCGTCGCGGCAGCATAGTGTGCTGATATAGAGGTGGAAAAGATAACTTAAAATTAAAAACTATTACTTCAACGAAAGAAAGCACTCATAGGGCTTCAAAATAAACATAAGAGCGCCTTTATTTTCGCATTTGCATATAACCAATGTTTCAGTCCAACTACCTAGACATATTAAAAAAAAGTTTGGTAATGGGACTGAAATGGTGAATGTATGCGGTTGCACAGCTGTAAAAAATGACGTTATCTTGTTTATTTTGAAGTCCTATGGGTGCGCTCTTCACTTTGAATATGTTAACGTGCTGGAGTGTGCACCTAGCAACAAGACTGGGCCAATACGTGCTCATTACATATATGTTGCATATTAATGACATTGCTGTGTGTATTATGCATATATAAATGTATATTAATATATATCTAAATATTATAGGCATCATTATATATTTATATATAACATATAAATGTTTTGCCTTGTTTAGTGTATGTTGTCTCCAATTTTTCTCCTTTCTGTCTCCTACAACCCCCCTTGTGGATCTTTTACTTCATCCCAGCCTGTGTGTCTCTTTTTACTATTCTCCACCCCTCTGTATGTCTCTTTTCTCCCAGCCCCTTTTATGTTTTTCTTTGCCCCAGCCCCTTTGTCTCTTTCTCCACTTCCGAATTCCTTCTGTATGTCTCTTTCTAACTCCAGTTCCTCTGTGTGTCTCTTTCTCACCTCCCAGTCCAGCTTTGCCCCAATACAAACCTTGTGTGTCACTTTGTTCTCCTTCTCTTCTGTACATCTCTTTTTTGTGTCTCTGTCTCAGTCCCTCTGTATGCCTCTTTCTTCCCCCAGCCCCTCTGTGTCTCTTTTCCCCCCTCCCTTCCCCGTGTCTCTTTCTCCTCACCCCCATGTCTCTCTTCCCCCTCTCTTTCTCCCCATAGGAAAAGCATTGGTCTGGCTAAAATCAGAGGCAAAACGCCATTTTGGCCAATCAGCACTTCTTCATATAGATCCATTGAATCAATGCATCTCTATGAGGAAAATTCAGTGTCTCCACGACATTGAAAAGGACTACTGCCTACTGTGCAGCACTGAGCCAGGAAGCACCTTCAGTGGCCATCTGAGGAGTGACCACTTGGAAGTGTCCCTAGGGGCAATGTAAACACTGCCTTTTCTTTGAAAATGCAGTGTTTGCATTAAAAAGCCTGAAGGCAATGATTATACCCACCAGAACAACTGCATTAAGCTGTGGTTGTTGTGGTGACTATAGTTTAACTTTACGATTCCATGCACACACACAGCAGCTACTTACAGAAACAAACCCAGACACACAAACACATACTCAGTGATTTTTTTTGTTTGCTTTATTTATTTGTGTATGGTATATCACAATAATATTGTTTTTACGGTCACATTTTTTTTTAATATGATTTTTATTTATCTGCATTTTATCCTGACATCTTATTTATACAAAGGAGTTTCTACAGACGCGTCTGCACCTACCTATATCCTTGGTGGGGATCATGCCACCCAAGCTGATGTCATAAAACATATACTGCTCTTAAAAATGTAAGTATGTGTTTAGTAGATAGCTCCCTTATTTCCTGTCCTCAAATATTGCAATCCCACATAAAGATAACAAATAAGGGATTTATCTACTAAACAACTGAAAATAAGAAAAGGGCTTTTTTTTATCCTTTAGCTGTATAGTAGATCATTCCCTGGATTGGTGCCCGTATGTGAGATTTCCATATTTAAAGATACCAAATGAGGGTGCTGTTTAGCAGATAGCACCTTATTTGGTGTCCTTAAATATGGCAATCCCACAAAGGATAGCAAATAGAGGAGTTATCTGCTAAACAACGATTGAAATTAAGAGGTGTCAGCCAGCCCACAACAAGAAATCTGGGTGGCTAATGTGAATTATATGCAAATGTGTAATCAGATGCCAGCATGCAGAACACAGCATGCTGGCATCAGACAGCCAATGGCAGCATATTACCCCATCCCCTAGTGAGAAGTTTTACTGCTCCACCTCCCCCCTCCTGTTTTGACTGTGGTATCTTATGTGCCCCCCCATATATATTGTTCCTAGAGTCGCCACGATGTCTGCATGTGTGTCAATGTGTATCTGTGTTTGTGTGTGTATGTCCGTGTATGTGTATATGTGCAGACATCTAAAAATCTCGCCAACACTACACACAAATACACTCTTGCATTTCAACGTCAACACTACATACAAACCCCACCATTATATATAACCATACACTGCATTCAAATACATGCTTGCATTCAAACGCCAAGACTACATTCACTCACATATACTCCATACACCGCTACATTCACTCACATATACTCCATACAAAAACATGCATACATTCAAACACACAAACACTGCTTAGTGCTAAATACATTAAAACATTTTTTAGTTGTTTTTATATTTAAAGTTGAGGGGGGGAGCAAGAGGGGATGCCAAAAATAGGACCCGCCCCGGGTGCCAAATGCTCTAGGTACGCCCCTGTGTACCGGGTTACACTAGTGTTGTTCTTTTCTATGTTAACATTTCATATAAGACATCAAGTAAGAAAACCAGAACTGCTTGCCCTCTCATTGTACACCTGGTCTTTTGCCCATCAAGGAGGATAACAGACTGACTGCCAAAATACACTATTTTTAGCAGGTTTTACTAGGTTACTAAAAAAAAGACATCTCTCTCTGTAAATATTATACATCCACTAATTTATGTGATACTCATATTTATGTATTTGGCGCAGTTTGCTATATTTTTTGGGGGGATTGTTGGGGTAACCAAGTTACATTCCTACGGTCTTTGAGGTTAGCGCTGTATCCATACACACACTCAACCAGATATAAATCAAAGGGGAACTCTCACTTCCCACAATCTTTAATATTAACCCTAAATGTAGAAATCCACACCTCTTTATCCTGCAACTGGGCGCCTCCTGTCAGTCATGGTTATATTAATATTATTTAAGTTACTCTGGGAGGCCATAAGCTTTCCTAAAGAGATGGGTTTTAAGGCACTTCTTAAACTATTGGCTATTCTATAGGAAGGGTGCCGCCCGCGAGAAGTCCTGCAAGCGTGAGTTGGCCGTATGGGTGCAAGGTCATGGGCAGAGCGGAGAGACTGAGTAGGGGCATACCTATGTATCTGTGAAGAGATATAAGAGGGGCTAGAATTGTTCAGTGCTTTATAGGTATGGGTTAGCACTTTGAATTGACTCCTATAGGATACAGGAAGTCTGGCAGCACCATTTATTACAGACTGTAGTGGGGCAATACGGCTTTTGGGAAGACCAATTAGGAGAGGGTTACAATAATCCATGCAGGAAATTACTAGAGATATATCTAGGTGTCATCAGGGGTCTGGTGGTGGAATCCAAATGAGGTAATACATTTGCCAAGAGAGGCAGTATTACGAGTAAATAGAAGGGGACCAAGGACAGAGACTTGGGGGACTCCAACCGAGACCGAATCACTAGAAAAGGAGACACTGAATGAGCGTTGGGAGAGATAAGAGGAAAACCACGAGAGAACAGAGTCACAGAGACCGAGTGGTTGAAGAGTTTGAAGAAGGAGAGCATGATCAATGGTGTCAAAGGCAGCAGAGAGGTCAAGAAGAATTAGTATGGAGTAGTGGCTTTTGGATTTAGCTGCGATTAGGTCGTTCGTAACTTTGATAAGAGCAGTCTTAGTAGAGTGGAGAGGGCGGAAGCCAGATTTAAGAGGGTCAAGGAGAGAGTTGGAATTGAGGAAGTGAGACATATGGGTAAGCTCCGAGGAGAAAGGGAGCAGGGATATGGGACAAAGTTAGAGGAAGAGGGTGGGTCAAGAGATGTTTGTTTCAGGATCGGTACTACAGTGGCATGTTTAAGGTCAGCAAGGACAACTCCAGAAGAGAGAGAGCAGTTAAAGATATGCGTTAAGGAAGGCACAAGACAAGGAGAGAGAGATCTGACAAGTTGAGATGGGACAGTGTCGAGCAGGCAACTGGTGGGGCGAGAGGAAAGGAGGAGCACAGCCACCTCTTGTTTGGTAGCCGGGGAGAAAGTCTGAAGGGTAGGAAAGGCATGATCTACGTGTGGTTGAGAAAGAAAACGGTAAGGAGGGGAGAATTCTTTCCTTAGCTGTTCAATCTTGTCGGTAAAGTAGCATGCAAAGCTATCGGCTGTAAGGTTAGTTTTGGGGGTGGCCACAGCAGGGTGAAGAAGAGAGTTAAAGGTGTAAAAGAGACGCCTGGGATTGCAGGAGCATGAACTAATGAGAGAGGAAAAGTTGGACTGTTTGGCGAGGGCAAGAGCTGTGCTGTAAGAACACAATATGAATCTATAATAGAGATAGTCTGCTTGGGTGCGAGACTTCCTCCAGGAGCGTTCAGCACAATGGGAGCATCTTTGCAGGTAGCGTGTTGATTTAGTATGCCACGGTTGGGGGCGTGTCCTCCTCGAGGTGCATGTTTGGAGCGGGGCTGCAGCGTTCAAGGCAGAGGTGAGGGTAGTGTTTTATCTGTGGAGATGGCCAGTGAGGGACAGGAGAGGGAAGGGATGGATAGCGGTTGTGAATCAATATTAGCGAACAGCTGCTGGAAGTCAATAGAATTAAAGTTCCTCCTGAGTTGAGGGGGGGTTAGGCTGGGGTTGTTGGGTGAGGGGGTACTTGAGAGCAAACGAGAGGTGGTAATCAAGGAGAGGATTTAAGAGGAGCTGGAAGAGATAGGCTGGATTTGGGAGGAGTCGGAGGAGATAGGCTGGAAAGGTATATGTAGAGTGCATGGGATGAATAGAGAGGGGAGTGGAGTAAAGTGGAAGTAATGGAGATGGTGTTGCCAGGGACAGGTGAGCAGAAGGATAGGGATATTTCAGTAATGAGAGAAGTTAGTGTGAAAGTGAAAAATAGAAGGGAGAACATTATTTAGAGAAAATGTGTTTTGTTATATAGATATGAAGATTATACATATGCACATATATAATCATAGACATATATATATATATACACAGATATACCTATGAGTGTTTCAACCATGGTTAAGGATGCAGTTTGTTAGAGAGATATCAGGTGAGGAGAGGTTTAGTGACTTGATTGTTGTGTTTTAACAATCAGCTGATCTGCACTATCTATAAGTATAATAATGACCATGGGGTGGGGTGGGCAGCCTTCCAGAGATGATACCTCTGCTTAGGCCTTTCTGCAGTGCTTGGTTGCTTGTGAGTACTGGGTGTTGATAATCAATGCTGTTATTAGGGGCCCAGTCTGAAATATAAGGTCTGGGGTTCGAAACCCACCCTCCCCCCCAAAGAAAACACCATTATGGGTGGGGAGACTTGGAGATATTGAGGTATTTAGAGATGAAAAACCATAGGAGATAACATTTGGGATAAAAAGATATGAAGGGGGGGGCGGGGCCGGACCGCCAAGATGGACGGTCGCAGAAAAGAACGGCTCCTACAACTCTCCACATATTAAACTTACAAACCCCTTAGATACCAAATCTAAGACCCACAGCCGCGACCGCCACGGACCACGAGCCACCGGACCCGAGGAGAGGCTTGCTCAGGGAGTTCTAGTCCCTCGGGGGAGAGATTACCGCCAACTCAGACGGGACCCTATCCGGCGGTGAGTGGGGCAGACGGCCGCTGCCCCACTATCCTGCCCAACGTGACTCGAGAGGCACCTTAAACTGCGGCGGACCCGGTCCTATTCCCCCCCCCCCTGGACTGGGGGGGTTATCCCAGTCCCCACAGGTGACAGCCACACAAACCGCGAGGCCCAAGCACTAGCCCAGCAGTGAAGTGCGGTATTAAGATGGCCGACAACACGCAGACACGTGCGTAATGGCGGGGCGAGACGACCACAACAGGGTGCCCGTGCAACAGACCCAGGTAACATCCCTGGATCCCCGTCAGGATACACCAGCAGCTCCCCTTGAATAGCTTCAGATGTGCTGAGCTACTTACGACACTCTGAGATTTACCTGCCATCACTCAGCTCCGCATTTGGGAGAGCATGTCTGGCAACCACACATATACCAGACGTGGGAACCGGCACCATGTACATCGGGCCCTGGAACCCGTGGAACACCACAGCCTCAAGACCAACACATCATAAGGCATATATGACTTTCTTGTACTATACAAAAAGCTGGCTGCCTAGCTTAGGAGAACCACTTGTAGTTGTAAAAGCTATATACTTCAACGAGATAAAATACGCATACCCATTTAATGCAGCTACTGGTATATATCACAGCTTACACAGTCTGTATACACGTAGGCTTCACTACAGCTTCGATATATCTCTCTGTTCATTCCAGATAATCTGACAGTAATAACACTCAGTGAGTTTTCCTGGTTATAGATAGCCTGTATCTAAAGTCTTGAAACGTTTGCCTCGCATGACTCTTATATTTTAAAACTATGCTGACAGCCTGTCTTCTTTAAATCTTAGCATGTTACCTTTACTAATATAATCAGTGTAAATCTACTTAACCAAGCTTGCCTAAAATATAAAACTGTGCCTGTTACTTCTATGCCCCGCATGTTAAGCGAGGAATTGCCTGAGGAATGCTTTCGGGGCACCTCAGTACTACCTGTACCACTCTAGCACTGAAAAATAAAGAATTAAAAAAAAAAAAGATATGAAGGATCAGATAGGTGAAAGTCATAAACAGTGAACATAAATTTCCAAGACTATCAGTGAAAGAAGTAACACTAGCTAAACAAACAATTATGAGCTCCGCTCTTTACACCAGTCAGTCAGCATAGAGAGAGCATACAGAGAGGAGAAGGCATAAAACATTGGCAGTATTTCTCCTCTTCGTTTGCTTTGTGTCCTCTGACTTTGCCTTGTCTGAATTACGATAAAAATTTCTATATATTTGATGTCAATTTAAAAGAAAATCAGAACGTTTCATGAAAAAAAGGTTAAGACAGGCGAGTTACCGCTCATTTTCAATGTATTATTCAATGGTGACTCTGCCACACGCATACTGCCAGTACAGCCTCACACACACAGTGACACACTGATACAGAGACAGTCACACACAAACACACTGACAGATACATAGATTTAAAGGGACACTCGAGAGCCCTAAGCATTGTGTGAAGAGTGTGTTCTTTTCTTTCCCTTTTATAAAAAGTGCAGATTTCAATAGAAAATCAATACACTTTTATAAATGAACCTGGTTACACCCTCTGGCTTTCAATCAGACACTCTGTCCTGTTACTTCCTGGTTTGGTTAGCTCAGTTGAGATAAACTCAAGAGGCAGCCATTACCCAGAGCACCTGCCTTGCAAATACTTCTCGTTGAGCTGCATTGGGGAGTCTGTGATTGGACAGCCACAAAAAGGGAGGGCCTGCAAAGGCTGCAGACAAGAGATCTACAGCTTTTACAAACTGTTTTTAGATATACCCCAATGAAAATAAGCATGGTTGAATGCATGCAAGTATTCATTTGGGATATTTTTACTAAACAGTGATGTATTTAATATAAGGGCAGTGTATTATCCCTTTAATGCAGATTCTTAAAGCTATAGTACTAGATGCATACACACATGCAGACATATTCTCTGCCTCTGGTTTCTTGAAACATTTGTTTACTGTCCCTGTTTGTCAAAATTACAAAGCAATAAAAAGCATGTGTAATCCATTGCTGAGACCGTACCCCCTCTGCAGCCCCGATCAGCCATAATCTCTGTCTTACCAGATGTGGTCCTTGTCCTACAATTGCCATAGCCCACAGACCCATTGCAATGAAAGCATTGTCATTATGTTGTATGTGAAGACATTTATAAAAGGTGACATGCATTTGGCACAATATAATCATTTGTTTATAAATGGCAATGTTTTACATTGTCAGACAAAACTAGTCTCCGCAGATGTGGTTATTCTGGTGCTCAGAGTGTTCGTTTATCTATAGATTTTATTTTTTCAGGAGAGATTTTATTGCCATTTCTAAACAAAGGGGTACTCTTTTATAGTGTAAATATGGTACAGTCCAGGTTCAGGTAAAGCTTTGCAATCATCTTGATCTGGACCCATGTATCATGGGAGAAGTAGTTCCAGCGTTTGAGAAAATATGTTTTTTGGTTGGCTATGCCTATGTGACCGTCAGGGTAAAGACACCTCCTCCATTAGGGCACTTGAGATTCCTCACCTGATTTTTGCCTCTCTGTTGTCATTTCGTGGTTGGTGACACCTCCTGAATACTTCTCTCCACTGGACATCCCGTCCTGCACGTAGTAGCTTTCTAGCTGCTGTGTCGATCTCTGGGGAGTTCCAAATCTGCTGCAATTAGAAAAAAAATACATCAATGAGCACTAACAAAGGGCTGCCATCTTTCAGCCTCATACAATGTTACCATCACGCTTCCCATCTATAACCATATCATTCTCATCTCCTGAGTTCTGCCGCTCCGGTCCTTCAGGTTTAGACCATCCTGTCAGTAATTCCTAATCCCAGAGACAGATTTCCACCCACTGCAAAATGTGCACACTATAAATAGAGACTGTTTATTGGGCAATGTATAATTACACCCGGATTAACAGAGAACAAGTGAAAGCGGGTTACATGTGAGGGTGGAAACAACATGGATAAAACATAACTCCGGCAGAAGTTGTGTTTTTTTTCCCCCAGCAAAATATCTCTCTTCAAGCAACACACATCCATTTTTTATGAGTAAATGTAATAATCCAGACTCACCTTTCCACGGCTGGCTTGAAGCGACTGTAGCTGGCTCCGCTGGTGTTTGGGGTAGAAAAACTTCCCGAAGTATGCCGGTACGGCTGTCCTTTATCCACTGCCGTCGGCGACGTGGCGATATACGGCGTCTCTGGATAGCTCACTGGCCTGTATATTTGGAGAACAGATTTGAGAAGTTTAAAAAGCTGTATATACAAGTTATATTCTCCTGGTGCCCTTTGGGTATCTCCTCCCCGTCACACCTTACTGACACAAGCTGTGCCAGTTTTTCAGGATTAAGTCACCGATGGTAACTACAACTTCCTACAAAGTGATTTATGCAGCCTTTCCCATAAAAAAAAAAACCAAAAATGTAACTATAGTTAATTAACAAAGCCTCATAATGCTCACAATGGGTTAAAGGGGCAGTACCATGTAAGAGGAAAGTGACCTAATGACAGTGACATGTTTAATAGGTTAAAGAGACAGTCCCACGTAAGAGCAAAGTGATCTAATGACAGCGACATGTTTAATGGGTTAAAGGGACAGTCCCATGTAGGAGCAAAGTGACCTATGACAGTGACATGTTTAATGGGTTGAAGGGATAGTTCCACGTAGGAGCAAAGTGACCTAATGACATGTTTAATGGGTTAAAGGGACAGTCCCATGTAGGAGCAAAGTGACCTAATGACAGTGACATGTTTAATGGGACAGTCCCGTGTGGGAGCAAAGTGACCTAATGACAGTGACATGTTTAATGGGTTAAAGGGACAGTCCCATGTAGGAGTGGAGTCATCATTATCTGCATCAAACCCACCTCCGGTTATTGTGAAGAGACTGTGGTTCCCTGATGGGCACTCCTGGAGCCTGCTTTGGAGGCCGGTTCAATGACTGTGGATGGTTAGGTATTACCCATTTTTGTGAAGGAGTGGCACTGTGATGGGTAGCAGAGCCGCTCCACTGCCAAGTTGTGTTGCTGCGGTACGGTGGTCTGGAGGTGGATGAGGCATGATCTGCGTCCTTATGGTCCATGGAGGTTTCAGTCCAGCCCCTTTAGAAGAAACATGTGTAACAGTGTGACTAAACCTGGCATGACCAGAAGGGAGCGAGTAGAGGTCTTTGCACGCAGGAGAGAGTCTTTATACATTTAAGAATGTATCCCTGTAACATGTGAACTACACAGTGACAGACTGCAAACAGCACACATGTCAAACATTCCTGACACAACGCTTTCAGTAATAAAGAGTATAATATGAATTTAGAATTCTGGCAGTCAGAATGCTAACAGACGGTCTGATACGTACCTTAGCAGGACTTTGTTATTCTCACATCCCATAATAACTACCCTCTCATGTACGTTACAGCAAACTCTGAGTTCGCCCTGACAGAACACAGGGAGATAATTGTCCTGACTTGCCCTGCACAGATTTTTTTACCGGGTGTGGTTAACCGGCAAGTTCTGTTACAGAGAGACTGCCTTGCAGTATCTGTGCAATAAAAAAAAGCAATCCATGCTGGGCAGACTTGGCACCTTTAGTAACTTAATGGATAATTCTAGATCATTCTACAAGTACCTGAAACCTGAGGTAGCTATCTCTTTAATTCCATATACATACAATTCCTACATCAAAATGTCTTATAAACTGCGCTCTGATACAGAATGACCCACATACAAATCACATGCTGTACCGATACAGACCTCCACACACACGCCGTTCCGATATAGAACTCCGCACACACGCCGTTACGATATAGAACCCCGCACACAAGCCGTTACGATATAGAACTCCGCACACACGCCGTTACGATATAGAACTCCGCACACACGCCATTACGATATAGAACTCCGCACACGCACACACCGTTCAAATACAGAACTCCAAGCACAGCCTATTCTGATACAGAACTCCACATAGGGAGGTCGCAGAACATTGTATATGAGCAGGTAGGTCCGAGAGCAGTGTGTATAGGGAGGGAGGACGCAGAGCAATGTGTATGGGGAGGGAGGTCGCAGAGCAGTGTGTATGGGGAGGGAGGTCGCAGAGCAGTGTGTATGAGAAGGGAACGGGCAGACCGGTGAGCACAGATATAAACATGTCACAGAAAGCATAGGTGGATTAATGCTGTAGGGTCTGAAGGCAGGTTTCTGCATGCTTAATAATTCCTCTCTATAGCACAATCTATTAAAACTCCCCCTGCATCTTGTTGCATTCCATAATGTTACACAAATCACTTCACTATAACCACTTCCTGGCTCGGTACAACAGTCAAACACTCTTTATATCACAATTCACTAAAGCACACACACTGGGAACCAATCCTCTTCGGCCAGCATTGCCAGGGAAGCCACATGCTGGCACTTTTACAGCAAACTTTTAAATGGTAAAACACAAAATATCTGCAGCTGCAGAAGGAGGGGGGAGATCTTACCTTCGTGGCACACCATCTTCATGGGGCGGTATAATCACCACCTTGACTGTGACCGATGTGCGCAGAAGATCAATCATCTGGTCGTGGCTAAGAGTCACCACTGCCACCTTGCAGATCTCCACAAGTCGACTTCCTTGCCGTAAGCCAGCCTGCCACGCGAAGCCATAGTCCTCCACCTCTGCGACAGTGCCATCATACTTAACATGGAAGCCCAGCTGGCCCAGGCCATTTCTGCGCAGGGTCATGTCCACTGTCTCGCATCCTTTGGTCATGATCTGAGAACATATGTTGGGGACTAACATGAAAGGCCTTTAATCCAATGTTTTACAATCCCAGATTATATAGCGGTTTTCTGGTGGATGTTATCAATATACTCCCACAGAGCTCCTATTAAACAATTTCTGTGCTACTTACTTTAGTCAAGAACACTCCACAAGAAATGTTAAGTTCCAGTAGAGGTGACCTGCAAGACCTCCATGAACTCCTGCTTCTTACTCTCCACATTCTCACATCCTTGAGCCCTCCACTGTCTTTCACACTCTTTTTTTGTCCTTCCCCCTTCAAGACCTCATTCTGTCTAGATTACTTCATGTCCTTCCACACACCACATACTCACATTCCATGTCTTTCTGTCTGCTCATTTATACATACTCACTTTCCCTATAGCCCCATTTTTTCCTGAGGTGTTTTTTTTTCTTTATATCTTCCTGCTTTTTTAGATCCACTCTTGTGTTCTCCTTCATCTTTTGCTCCACGCTCACGAGTTCCGTACCCATTCCACCCCCTCTCGTTCTGAGCCCCACACCTTCCAGCTTTCACCTCATGTTTCTTCCACATCTACCCGTTTCTGGATATTCACACCTTACTGTCCCATGCCCTGTACACGTCTTCCTGCTTGTGTTTATCCAGACCCTCATGCTCCACATCCTCTCCCGCTTCCTCGTCTCCAGATCTTTGTGCCCTATGCCCCCATGAACTTTTGCTTTCTCTTTAAGATTTTCACACTACATGTCCCCTCCATGCAATTCCATTTTCTCCTCTCCACACCCTTAAGTTCTATGTCCTCCTTCACACCCTCCAGTTCCCTCCTCTCCTGACTCTCAAGTGCCATGTCCAACCCAAGTCCAGTTTTCCACACCCGCACGTTCCATGTCTCCAGCCTCTCACTTTCACATCTTTATGTTCCTTTCACATCTTCCTTGTTCTAGATCTTCACACCCTACTGTCCTATACCCCGTACACACTCTCCAGCTTGCATTTCTCCGGACCCCCATGTTACACGTCCCCTCTTGATCTATGTGCCCCTCCTGCTTTTTCTTCACCAGATCAAAATTTATTTCCTCTCTACATTCTCCAGTTTCCGACCCCGTCAAACCCTCCATGTTCTCCAGTTTCCGCCTGACTATACCCTTGTGTTCCATATTCTCTCCACATTCTCCAGTTTCAACCTCACTACACCCTTGTGTTCAACGTTCCCTCCACATTCTCCAGTTTCCGTCTCACTGTACCCTTGTGTTCAATGTTCCCTCCACATCCTCCAGTTTCAGTCTTACTATACCCACGTGTTCAACGTTCCCTCCATATCCTCCAGTTTCTGCCTCACTATACCCCCGTGTTCAACGTTCCCGCCACGTTTTCCAATTTCCATCTCACTATACCCTAGTGTTCAATGTTCCCTCCACATTCAGCAGTTTCTGCCTCACTAGACCCTCATGTTCCATGTTCCCTCCACGTTCTCCAGTTTCCGTCTCACTATACCCCCGTGTTCCATGTTCCCTCCACATTCTGCAGTTTCTGCCTCACAATACCCTTGTGTTCAACGTTCCGGTCACTTTTTCCAGGTTTCCATCTCACTATACCCTTGTGTTCCATGTTCCCTCCACATTCTGCAGTTTCTGCCTCACTATACCCTCGTGTTCCATGTTCCCTACACATTTTCCAATTTCTGCCTCACTATACCCTAGTGTTCAATGTTCCCTCCACATTCAGCAGTTTCTGCCTCACTAGACCCTCATGTTCCATGTTCCCTCCACATTCTCCAGTTTCCGTCTCACTATACCCCCGTGTTCCATGTTCCCTCCACATTCTGCAGTTTCTGCCTCACAATACCCTTGTGTTCAACGTTCCGGTCACTTTTTCCAGGTTTCCATCTCACTATACCCTTGTGTTCCATGTTCCCTCCACATTCTGCAGTTTCTGCCTCACTATACCCTCGTGTTCCATGTTCCCTACACATTTTCCAATTTCTGCCTCACTATACCCTCGTGTTCAATGTTCCTGCCACATTCTGTAGGTTTCTGCCTCACTATACCAGTGTTCAACGTTCCCGCCACATTTTCCAGGTTTCCATCTCACTATACCCTTGTGTTCAATGTTCCCTCCACATTCTCCAGTTTCTTCCTCACTATACCCCTGTATTTAATGTTCCATCCACATTCTGCAGTTTCTGCCTCACTAGACCCTCGTGTTCCATGTTCCCTCCACGTTCTCTAGATTCTGCCTCACTATACCCCATGTTCAATGTTCCCTCCACATTCTCCAGTTTCTGCCTCACTATACCCTCGTGTCAGACGTTCCCTCCACATTCTCCAGTTTCTGCCTCACTATACCCTCGTGTCAGACGTTCCCTCCACATTCTCCAGTTTCTGCCTCACTATACCCTCGTGTCAGACGTTCCCTCCACATTCTCCAGTTTCTGCCTCACTATACCCTCGTGTCAGACGTTTCCTCCACATTCTCCAGTTTCTGCCTCACTATACCCTCGTGTCAGACGTTTCCTCCACATTCTCCAGTTTCTGCCTCACTATACCCTCGTGTCAGACGTTCCCTCCACATTCTCCAGTTTCTGCCTCACTATACCCTCGTGTCAGACGTTCCCTCCACATTCTGCAGTTTCTGCCTCACTATACCCTCGTGTTCAATGTTCCCTCCATGTTCTCCAGTTTCTGCCTCACTATACCCCGTGTTCCATGTTCTCTCCACATGCTGTAGTTTCTGCCTCACTATACCCTCGTGTTCCACGTTCACCAGTTTTTCCCTCACTATACCCTCGTGTTCAACGTTACCTCCACATACTCTAGTTTCTGCCTCACTATACCCTCGTGTTCAACGTTACCTCCGCATCCTCCAGTTTCTGCCTCACTATACCCTCGTGTTCAACGTTACCTCCGCATCCTCCAGTTTCTGCCTCACTATACCCTCGTGTCAGACGTTTCCTCCACATTCTCCAGTTTCTGCCTCACTATACCCTCGTGTCAGACGTTCCCTCCACATTCTCCAGTTTCTGCCTCACTATACCCTCGTGTCAGACGTTCCCTCCACATTCTCCAGTTTCTGCCTCACTATACCCTCGTGTTCAATGTTCCCTCCATGTTCTCCAGTTTCTGCCTCACTATACCCCGTGTTCCATGTTCTCTCCACATGCTGTAGTTTCTGCCTCACTATACCCTCGTGTTCCACGTTCACCAGTTTTTCCCTCACTATACCCTCGTGTTCAACGTTACCTCCACATACTCTAGTTTCTGTCTCACTATACCCTCGTGTTCAACGTTACCTCCGCATCCTCCAGTTTCTGCCTCACTATACCCTCGTGTTCAACGTTACCTCCGCATCCTCCAGTTTCTGCCTCACTATACCATCGTGTTCGTTTTCTCCACGTCCTCCAGTTTTCTCTTCTCATGTTTTGTGTCCCCTCCATGCCCTTTACTTCACGTTACTCCTTCTATGCTCACTATGCCCTCAGGCTCTGCCATCTTCACCATTTTTCCCTGTCCCCTGCTTGCACTCATCAACTGCTAGGTTTTATGATATAATTCTGGTTCTGTACGGTGATAGATCGTCTGGCACGCATTTAGTTTTCCCATCATAGTGATTTGCCCAAATAGTCAGTGGAAAGCCTGACCCCACACCCACTAACAAACATGCGCTGGTTGGGGTGATTGTGTAAGGCATGACAGACATTCACATCCAGCAGCACATGTACACGCACACACTGTATATATGTTACAGGCAATATGCACAATAAAGGCAAAACATGAGAAATGACCATCCTTTCCTAACCAGGACAAAGTGTAAGATTAGGCAGACAGCGCAGAGGGGGGCAGGCAGACAGCGCAGAGGGGGGCAGGCAGACAGCGCAGAGGGGGGCAGGCAGACAGCGCAGAGGGGGGCAGGCAGACAGCGCAGAGGGGGCAGGACAGACAGCGAGAGGGGGGGGGCAGACAGACAGCTTAGGGGGCAGACATGTTTTATAGGGGGCAGACAGACAAAGGCAGAGGGGGGGCAGACAGACAGCGAGAGGGGGGGGCAAGATGACAGCTTAGAGAGGGGCAGACAGACAGCAGAGGGGGCAGTAGCAGTGACAGACAGCCATGAGGGGGCAGACAGACAGAAAGGTGACAGACAGAGAGGGGAGCAGACAGACAGCTGCAGAGAGGGGGCAGACAGACAGCTGAGAGGGGCAGACAGACAGCCAAAGAGAGGGAGCAGACAGACAGCTAGAGGGGCAGACAGACAAATCTAGAGGGGGGCAGGACAGATACAAAGAGAGGGGGGGTAGACAGACAGCAAAAGAGAGGGAGCAGACAGACAGCAGGAGGTGACAGACAGCTTAGAGGGGGGCAGACAGACAGCTTAGAGGGGGCAGACAGACAACGAGAGGGGGGTGCATGTAGACAGCGCAGAGGGGGCAGACAGACAGAGCAGAGGGAGCAGACAGACAGCGCAGAGGGGGCAGACAGACAGCGCAGAGGGGGCAGACAGACAGCGCAGAGGGGGCAGACAGTACAGAAATAACTGATATTGTTAGGGAAAGGATGAAAAAGAAATGGAAATAAAAACTATTGAAACACAAAATCTGGTAGTTTTAGTAAGACGTTTAATAAGGTTACTTGTGACTAACCTTGTTATAACACAATAAAACACATTATAACAGTAAACAACCTTATTTTAACAACAACAATTTACGAAAACGGGAAAAACTGATATTTAACATTAAATGACACAATGTCACAATTAATCTAGCTAATTAAAATTAATCTAATTTTTTTTTTTTTTTTACTTTTTAATTTCAGACCTGCCATACCTGGGGCCTGTGTAAAATGGGAGAGTAAAGCTCCAATCTTTTTACTGCACAGATTGGTGAAGGACAGAGAAAAATCTGTTAAAATGTTATATTGACAGGTTGGATCTAGTGCAACCTTGTCGGAAGAGGCAGTTCTAGCTCTTCTCTCCATCATTATTGCCCACAATGTCATGTGTGTTTCTACATGAAGTCTTGTCCTGTTATAAATGATCTTCTGTCACAACATATCCATCTAAAGCGAGTGGGAAGGACAGGTGAGGTGATACAGCGAGTGGGAAGGACAGGTGAGGTGATACAGCGAGTGGGAAGGACAGGTGAGGAGGTACAGCGGGTGGGAAGGACAGGTGAGGAGGTACAGCGGGTGGGAAGGACAGGTGAGCAGGTACAGCGGGTGGGAAGGACAGGTGAGCAGGTACAGCGGGTGGGAAGGACAGGTGAGCAGGTACAGCGGGTGGGAAGGACAGGTGAGCAGGTACAGCGGGTGGGAAGGACAGGTGAGCAGGTACAGCGGGTGGGAAGGACAGGTGAGGTGGTGAGAGCTAAGGAAATGTTAGGCGGTACATTGAGAGGGAAAGGACAAATGATGCTGTACAGCTAGTGGAAAGGACAGGTTAACAGAATGAAGAATGGCTTGATAAACTGTATGAATGAGTGTCTGGATATGCAAGAAAATGGTCTCGGTTTCATTACATCCCTGGCAGCAATCTATAGGATCAGTTCTGAATTGAAAATAAGGCAGGGTCAGAGTCTTACTACACATAATTTAACACATTACTAGTTCTGTCTGCTGTGTGTAATCTCAAGGCATGCACTGCATTGCCTGAGAATTGTACATCATGTCTTGATACATTGCCTGTAACATATACATATAACCAAACACAGAAAGACGGCTCCTCTGACTGCTAACAGTCCTTTACCATATCATTAAATCAATTCACTTCCTTCTCTGATGAATCTCTCTTTACATTTTGCATGTTTAAGACGTATTCATTCACAGTACTGCTGAGTAAGCTGGTGTTATTAAAGTAACAGTCAAACAGTAATAATACTAGCAATTAAATAGGAATGCAATCCCTACTGCCCCCATGTGACCATGCTGATCTATCCCCATAAACATCTCCCCCTTTAGATTGAGCTCTGCCTCACCTCAATGTCTAATTATTTATTCGAATTTGGACTTCATGTGCCAAAAATATACCAAATAAACTTTACTATTTTTCCATGATGTCTTTTCTTGACTTGGACTGTACCGATTTTATATTCTCACGTTGATCACCCAGGTTCTGACTCTGAGCTACTTACCCATTGTGCATAGAATTATTGCAGATACACATACATATATATATATATATATACACACACATTACCATTAAATAATAAGCTCTCTTGTGCAAATTTAAACCCCAATGTCCTGATTCAGAAATTCTGAAAATAAAAACATTAGTGATACCACCTAATGTGGAAATCTCTGTAAACGGGTCGTTCTAGCTTAAATACTCTAGAGAAACACAGCGACCCATGTCAGAACATATACAAGTATTATACATACAAACACTAGGATTTGTTATAGTGCGCGGAGGCATTTAATGCTAAAACTAGAGAAATAGTTAAATTTAGGCAAAATAATCTGACTCATAATTTGTGCACAAAGCAGTCAGTTACATTTTAACACGTCACAGTGCACTTCTTTCCCAAAAATAAAATGGGCCTTTAACAGGAGCAGACCCGAACAATCTGTTAATTTATAAAACCTAAAGCTAATTAGGACATTGTTTTTACACTTTCAGCAGTTTTTAAAAGTGCAGTTAGAATTAACACTACATTTCATGGACACGCTGCGGTTTATTTGCCAAACTGGGAATTGTTGAAAATTTAAAACTTGTTAAGGAACTGACATTTTTAGGAAAGAAAAACCAAGCAAACTGAATGTCTCCAAATCCAATTTGTAATTTGCTTTTCATATTTTCACATCTTCAGTTTAGTGAATAAACTCCATTATGTGACACAGCCATTTTTTTACTTTAACACTGATTTTAGTTTGAGTTGGCTGCATTTCTCTGCACCCTTTTAATGTCAAATGTCTTGCCACCCTTGCATAATGCACAATGCCAACCAGAATTACTAAATAATAGATTTTTAAAATGCTACATAATATATATATTACTTATTAGGTCTTCTATTTAGAACTATATTACTTTGTATGTTTTGTTTATTTTATTTGTCATGAACATCTGAAAGTTTTTTTCTGCCTGGATTTCCCAGAGGGCACACATTATGATGTATTGTTCTGTTTTTTGTGAATGAAGTACTCTGTGAGCTGCACTATTGATTTAGTTTAGTGGTTTCCTTCTAGAATACCCAGCTGATGATTCATGTACACTTTTTTCCCCACTTACTTTCAGCCTTTGCACAATTTCCCTGATGTCTTCCCCGCTTTCATCCAGAGCCCGTATTAGTATGTGGTCTCCACGACCATAGAAGATCTTGAGAGACAGTTTTTCGGGTGTCCATCCAATCACATCGACACAGTAACAATTGAAAACCACCTCTTTGGTGACAGTCTCAATCAGGACCATAAACTCGTTAGATATGCCCAAGGCACATTCTGTCTCGGCTGCCTGGGAAAAGTCCTGCGCCACCACCCGCCAGGCTAAAGCACCGGAGCTCTGATGCTCAGCACCAAGCCGCGGTTTTGTTTTCTCCTTTTTTTTGGAGGTCAGAGAGATTAAGTTGAACTTGCCCGTTGTATCGACAGGTGTGTTGGTGACATAATTCTCAGCCAGGTCTTTAAGGTATTCCTGCCTTGTGCGGGTGGCCATTGTATGAAATTTATCTGATTTATGGGCTGCATTCTCTGCATTGATGACTTTGGCCAGCAGAAAGTCCCGGAAGACATCGGACTTCCGGAAGGTAACGCCACTAGGAATTGGGGGACCAAATGGGGGCACATCTTTCGATCTGGTCACTGCCACACTGTTAATAAGAAAGCATACAATGGAAGAGATAAGTCTACTGCCCTACTCAGTGGGTCAGGTCATATGAGTTGACAGGCACCGCATTCTCCTTGTAGCAAGGTAAAGAGCAAATACGAATGAAATCATGATGAATGCTTACTAATATTAAGGGTTCTAAGATCCTCCACTTCTACCAAAAACTACAACAGCCAGCAAAAGTAGGGGGCGGGAGAAAATAATGGAACCAGAATTCCTAAAGCGATCTAGTGTGCATTAGTCGGTGTTTGACCATCAATGTTTCAAACTGTGTCAGTTTTTGTCTCAAACGTTTTCAAGGCTTCACCCCTTAAGGACACATGACGACATGTCATGATTCCCTTTTATTCCAGAAGTTTGGTCCTTAAGGGGTTAAAAGACACCATATGCAGGTTGAAACACTGCCAATTAAGCGCCAGTAAATATATGCTATATCACTTTAAGGAGTACTGCTCTTGAAACATAATTATGTTTTTTCATGCATGCATTGTTTATTGTTTTCGCTAATTACTGCCAATAAATGCATCAGTGGAATTTTGAAGTAGTCTCCAGAGAGTTTTGTTTCTATTTAGACAGAGAAAGTTATAATCCTGGACAGGAAGGGGAAGAATATTTCACTAGATTGTAATCACTGGACTTTGAGAAGGAGGTAAAAGAGAGAGAACAAATGCTGTTAGTTATAATTTTAGCAAACAAATAAAAACTGTAACATTTAATAAGATAAATATACATGGGAATACACAGATTGGAACTTGCTAAAATGACATTCTACTTGTCCGTTAGACCAGATGAGCAGAATGTTGAAAATTAACAGAGCTTAACCGTGGGCAGGCATCACCACGCAGCGATATTTCAATCAGTCAAAGATGACAGGAATCTTTTCCTGTCTCTCACAAACTGAACACATTCTGCCACTTCATAATTTTGAACAAGCAATGCTGTGCCAAAGGATGAACACATGTACATTCAGTGATGACTATTGCACTAATCAACAAAAACAAAACACATTTACCAGCATGATAAATACAGCCAATCGTGAAAATGGTATGGCAGAGAGCAATATATTTCTTTTAGGAACCCACCTGTAGCAGACATTCTCTGTGCAGGGATCATGGGCTTTGATTATGATGAAGACATGCTGAAAATGGGAACGGATGTTCTGTGGAGTAAAGGGCAATGCTCCTGGCTCCTGGAAGATGATGGTCACAATATCATTTCCTATGTGTCTCTTCCGGAGGAGCTAAAATGAAAGCAAAAATAAAACGTGTTTAAACAGGGATACTACTCCAACAATCATAACTTTTAAACATGTTTCTTTCATTCATGTAGCCCCCGGACTGGTTTTTCCATGTCACGGCCTGTTCTTCTGGTTCTTGGTCCTTAGTACACAATGGACAAAAGAAGTAAAGACTCACACATTCCTGTCATTAAAACACTTTCTACCCCATATACATATCACGGTCACATTGTGACAATACGATGGTCATGTATGTCTGTTGTGTGAATAGAAAGAGCTGTATCTTTACCTGTTGTCTGTTATTCGGAGTGTAGGGAAGGAGAGTAGACACGTGAAACATAATCTCATAATCCTGATACGTGGTGTAAAGAGAGTGTGTTCCAGTGGAATCCGCTACACAAAATAAAAAACAAGAGTGTGACATTTACTCTAAAGGAGCTAAATCGAGAGGAGAGAAAAAAATAATAATAATAAAGAACGAGTTGCAGAAACAGTTTTCCGGCAGAGGTTTTAGAGACTAACACAGTGAAAGAATTCACAAAGGCTTTGGATAAAAACACCTTGACAATTCTAAGGAGGGTGGGGAAATAAATGAGAATGACGGCCTGGTGTCGTCTGCCAATCGATTTTATTGTGTTCCTTCTCACAGTTTCTAATGCACGTAGCTAGGAAACTGGCAGAATTTATATAACAATTGGATTTTATCTACCACATGTTTCCATGGGATATCAGTGTGAAGCCATGATTTATTACCACGATACAAAATATATTAAATGTTTAAGGGGTCTATAACTGTTAAATGTATCTGATCGAGACAGGTACACTTAAAAAAATTAATAATAATCATAACAATAATGAAATCGTAAAATTTTAAGAGATTTAGCCATCATCAAGCCAGGAAGTGAACTAGGCTCACTTTGTATAGCAGTGCTGGGCGCATACCATAAGTGTTTTTATATGGGTACAGCAAAGGTTTGTGGATCTTGTAGTTAAATTGTCCAATTTCTGCTGTAGAAGCAAAAAGTTAAATTTCAACTCGCAAAAGCCCAAGTCATATACAGGGCTATTTCTACTGCGCAAATGTAATTATTAAGAACAGAAACAAATCTCAGACAGAGTGAATGATTACTTCTTATCTGGCTGCACCTTATGGCATTATACTGATAGATGCATCATGAACCCTAGCAATGTACCAGGACAGCACTCACTTTTGGTGTCCAGCTGGGCTGCATATTTAGTGAAACCCCTCAGGCAGACCTTCTCTCCCACCAAAGACAGAAATTCTTCGAAGGCTGGCCCTGCACCCTCGTTGTTGTACATCTCCTCCTCTGAGCTCTGGCCAGCCTTGCAGTATAAGATGCCCACCTTGTGTTTCCTGAAAAGCTGAAAGGAGACAGTAACACACGTTAATAAGTATAATAAGTTGGTATTGTTCATACGTGTGGATGGAATTGTCAGCTGGTAAGCTGTCAGTTGCTCGGCGGACTGTAACGCTCATTTTCCTGCATTCCACTGAGCCAATGTACCCTTCGCCTGCACAGGAATTATTTTAGTAAACCCTGACATGGTCTAAATGTCACTGATAATCAGCTACCTAGCTCGTTATATAATGAATAAGCCCCTCACTGTATTTTCTCAGGTGTTCTAGTCCTGGCTGTTTCAATTTCTTGATGCCCTCAATGCCCAGCTGTAAACCCCTTTTTGGCAGCATGTCCATTTCTCGCGTTATAACCCCCTGTGCGACCTCCCCAGGATCTCTTACCCCCTGTTCATCCAGCTTCAGGAGCTGCTCGGTCACTTTTGGAGAATTCATAGCCAGACGCAGACAATGGATGTTTAGCTCGGGTATCACAGCCTCCAGAACATCTTTGAGAGGAAGGCCCCTTACTGTACCATGCTTTGATGTGGATGGCACCGCGTCCTCCTGTATCATCCCCCTCAGTGTCACCAGCTGGAAAAAAAAGAAACAGAAAAGGAAAAAAACTATTCTGGGTGGGCACCTGTATTCTGAATCTCACATCCTGATGACCGAACGAGCGAGGGAAGAGAAAGGATGATGTGTCCGAAAAAGATAACTAGAACCGAAGAGAAATGTTTTGATCTGGAGTCTAGAGACTTCAATATATTTCTGTAATTACTGTTTAATGGAAAGCTTGCTAGATAAATGGAAAGGTTGGCATACAAATGTAGAAGCTGGCAGATACATGGAAAGGTTGGTAGATAAATGTAGAAGCTGGCAGATAAATGGAAAGGTTGGTAGATAAATGGAAAGGTTGGTAGATAAATGGAAAGGTTGGTAGATAAATGGAAAGGTTGGTAGATAAATGGAGAGGTTGGAGATAAATGGAGAGGTTGGAAGATAAATGGAAAGGTTGGAAGATAAATGGAGAGGTTGGAAGATAAATGGAGAGGTTGGAAGATAAATGGAGAGGTTGGAAGATAAATGGAGAGGTTGGAAGATAAATGGAGAGGTTGGAAGATAAATGGAGAGGTTGGAAGATAAATGGAGAGGTTGGAAGATAAATGGAAAGGTTGGTAGATAAATGGAAAGGTTGGTAGATAAATGGAAAGGTTGGTAGATAAATGGAAAGGTTGGTAGATAAATGGAAAGGTTGGTAGATAAATGGACACGATAATGAAAGCAAGGTTTATTACACACATGTTCTGTGATATGAATGCCATTTTCCTAGCAGAGCAGCAGCTGAGAGATGAGTTCCAGTGTGCCAAGCAGGGAACCCAGGGCAGTTCCTCATCTCACACAGACCGGGCATTGTCCCAATCTGCTCACAGGGAAACAGAGGCTCTTTTGTCGGGGAGATGTGAACCTAAAGGCCTTAATATTCCCCAGTGTGGTTCCACTACACATATTTTTAGACACTAGATTGCACAGAGAACTGGGGGATTGGAGATAAGCGCAGCTATCCTGTCCCCCAGACCCAGCTCAGTCTGACCCTTATCCCAGTGATGCAATGCTCACCCCTGTGACACTGAAAAGGGCAGGAACTGAACAAGCCCTTTCATTTTCTGGGTAAAGGAATTTTGGGACATAGCAGTGCTGGTGGTATATTACAAAGGATCACATCATATATTTCCTGTGTACTGTTCTGGTCTATTCCCTTTCCATGTGATCTGTCTAACAAGGATAGTCTCTGCTGGCTGCAGACGGTAGAGCCCTCTGATTATGTGAAAAGCTCTGCAGTTCCAGAGACTGACAGCGCTACGATGTGGTATCATACTGCAGTCACGGAAACTGACGACTAGTAAAGGGAACAAAGATCTCTAAACCAGCCCCACCGAGACACGAGACCTAGCAAGGACGCACGTCATTCTCACAGTACACTCGCCTCCTATACCTGCACTAACCATCACCCCTCCTGACTTACCTCACTGGTCCTGAATATGATCCGGTATTGATACTGAGGGCCATGGTCCTTGCTATCTTCCACTTTGTCCCTCTTCACGCTCACGGCAACAGGACCCAGCTTGTCATCCACACCAAAGTAGTTACAGTGCTCTGAAAGGGAAACGGCACACTCTGTAACATGTAACGAGAGAGGGGGGATCTGCACAATATGGTTTCATTATTCATACACTTATATTACAAAGTTACTAATACATCATTACAAAATGGAATCCTAGCCCCTCCCACATCCACAAGGCTGTCCATCCTGTGTTCCGGACTTCTAATATCTTCCAGGTAGCGATATTACAAATGGGACCCAATGCTTGGAAATAGAGATCTATATATCGCTGTCTCAAGACGCGTGGAAATGAAGTATCTTTCCAGGCCTGGGACCCTTTTCCTGTAATGCCGTCACTAAGGGGCCTAACTTATGCAAACGATGCAGTAAATGCTATTGCTTCACGTTTCCCACTATTTCTGTGCTGGTGACAGAGTGAATGCTAAATTTCGATCACGTTTTTCTGTTCAGATAAACTGCCTACATGACAAACTAGAAGCTCTGTCAGCACAATATACACAAGGGCGTCCATCAGTTTAAAACAAACATTTTTCATTTGTCATGAGGTAAAGGCCAGTTTTCACCTGAGATTCTTGCATTAGGAATGACCATTCATACAAAGTAAGGGGGCTCCATAGAATTAAAGAAACATTACCTATTGCAGGTAACGTCTTTCATACTCTCACTCCCATTTAGTATCCATGCTTAATACGTATGGGTTATGCAGAGCCTGGTAACTTTCCCTTTAATCTGACAATAAATTCTCCGAATTGTTACCTATAATAGGTATTTCAGTCACGAGGGAGTATTCCATTAGACACATGAAATTAGCAGCAGTCACTCATGTCTCAGACAGTAATGGGAATTTATTTACCAAATAAAAGCACCATTTTCCTAATTAGGTCATACAGACCTAGTCAGCAACTTAATTTGCATTAATAATGTCTTTAAAGACGAGAGTAGGGGGAGACATTGTGCCTCTTAATTTAACAAATTAAAAGGGGAACTGCCACTTCTCATGATTCTTAATATTATGTTTACAAAAATGTATTTATAAAGTGTAAAAAATAAGATTTCATTTTGAAACTTCTTTATCATACAACTGGGTGCCTCCATCTTATCTCCCTGTCAATCGCTTGTCTGAACTGGTCTGATTATGATGTAATTTGTTAAGACTTGCTACAATGGAGAATATGTGATTTTCTGTTTTTTATTTCATAGTGTAAATTCCCCAAAAGTGGTCACTTTGTTCCTACATGGGACTGTCCCTTTAACCCATTAAACATGTCGCTGTCATTAGGTCACTTTGCTCCTACATGGGACTGTCCCTTTAACCCATTAAATATGTCACTGTCATTAGGTCACTTTGCTCCCTTTAACCCATTAAACATGCCACTGTCATTAGGTCACTTTGCTCCTACATGGGGCTGTCCCTTTAACCCATTAAATATGTCGCTGTCATTAGGTCACTTTGCTCCTACATGGGGCTGTCTCTTTAACCCATTAAACATGTCACTGTCATTAGGTCACTTTGCTCCTACATGGGACTGTCCCTTTAACCCATTAAACATGCCACTGTCATTAGGTCACTTTGCTCCTACATGGGACTGTCCCTTTAACCCATTAAACATATCGCTGTCATTAGGTCACTTTGCTCCTACATGGGACTGTCCCTTTAACCCATTAAACATGTCACTGTCATTAGGTCACTTTGCTCCTACATGGGACTGTCCCTTTAACCCATTAAACATGTCACTGTCATTAGGTCACTTTGCTCCTACATGGGACTGTCTCTTTAACCCATTAAACATGTCACTGTCATTAGGTCACTTTGTTCCTACATGGGACTGTCCTTTAACCCATTAAACATGTCACTGTCATTAGGTCACTTTGCTCCTACATGGGACTGTCCCTTTAACCCATTAAACATGTCACTGTCATTAGGTCACTTTGCTCCTACATGGGACTCTCCCTTTAACCCATTAAACATATCACTGTCATTAGGTCACTTTGCTCCTACATGGGACTGTCCCTTTAACCCATTAAACATGTCACTGTCATTAGGTTACTTTCTTCCTACATGGGACTGTCCCTTTAACCCATTAAACATGTCGCTGTCATTAGGTCACTTTGCTCCTACATGGGACTGTCTCTTTAACCCATTAAACATGTCACTGTCATTAGGTCACTTTGCTCCTACATGGGACTGTCCCTTTATCCCATTAAACATGTCACTGTCATTAGGTCACTTTGCTCTTACATGGGACTGTCCGTTTAACCCATTAAACATGTCCCTGTCATTAGGTCACTTTGCTCCTACATGGGACTGTCCCTTTAACCCATTAAACATGTCGCTGTCATTAGGTCACTTTGCTCCTACATGGGACTGTCCCTTTAACCCATTAAAAAGGTCACTGTCATTAGGTCACTTTGCTCCTACATGGGACGGTCTCTTTAACCCATTAAACATGTCGCTGTCATTAGGTCACTTTGCTCCTACATGGGACTGTCCCTTTAACCTAATGGTTCTTAATATTTCATGACAAGGTCACAAATGATGTAAATGATAATATATAAATAGAAAAATCTGGGATCTGATAAATATAATATGCCTTTTCCATCCATAGGAGCTTGGGAGCAAAATTCAAGATCGCTGCAGAGAGGTTAAAACCCACTTTAATCTGACTGGAATAAAATGTTTCAATGTATTTTCTTAAAAGTATAAATATAGATAACATATATGAAGCAGTGTCCTATTGAAACAGATGACTATAAAGTGTTTGCATTTTTTTAAATTAACTTTTTTTAACCCCCAAGGCCACGTGCTCTCAATGGATTACTACTCCGGTTAAACAATGATTATAGAAAAGCATGACTTCTGATATGTTGCAGTATATATTAATACCTGATACTCTAAACACTGTAATGGCCATAGCTCTTTAGTGTAAAAGATATTGGGCTTATCCCACTCTACCTCTCTGCCACTGATCCGAACAGTTCGAAAAAACGACTGCTGTCTAGAATTCTCAGGGAACACAGCAGCTCACACTGGAGGGAGGGCAGGCAAAAAACATATTTTACACTATAGGACTATATGCATTACAACTCTGCAATGTAATATTTAGTAAATCGTTATAAAATGCTCATGAGACTGTGTTGGAATTTCCAACTCAGTTAAAACATATAAGACAAAGCAGGGACTACTTTGTCTTATGTAGTTTTCCTAAAATTGCCAAAACGATTGAGCTACCGCTGTCAACCCCTCAGCAGTCACTAGTGGTCGCTGAGGGGAAAAGGGCTCTTTCTACGGAAGATTTTCTGCGGTCTCCTCCACAGACATCAGTGTGGTACTCTCACGCATGCACAAGAGTATATCGCTGAGGTCAGCTCCTGACAGGCGAAGAGTGAGGAGCTGAAAAGGACCTTGCAGTGGATGATGGTAGCGCCTGTGAGAGACAGGTTCAGGGATGTAAGAACTAGCTTCCCCTGCAATCCTGGGCCACAGCAATCACTATCTGGGGTCTTTGCAAAATATGCAAAGACCCCAGAAGGTAGCTAAACTGCTTTAACCCCTTAAGGACACATGACATGTGTGACATGTCATGATTCCCTTTTATTCCAGAAATTTGGTCCTTAAGGGGTTAATATATGCTGCAACATATAAAAAGTTTAATTTTTCAGCATAGTTCTTCCAATTTCATTCATTTGTGCCTCAACAGGTTTTACATATGTTACCCTCTTACCTTTACCATGAAAATAATCTTGATAATACCGAGCTCCTAAATCCACATGCTCAATGCTGTAGTGTTTTAATCGTCCTTGAGTTTTCTCTATCTCATTGGGAACCTCCAAGACGGAGATGCTGGCATTTGTACAGTACATGGTGAGGGAAGGTTCTAAGACTCCACCCTCACTTCCACAGGGTGACCCAGCCGAGGCTTTGGAGAAGCTCACATTGCGTTCACACATCCCACCAGTCTCATTCCGGAAATGGGGACAACTGAGCAGGAGGTCATTACTGTTGTTGTCTCCCAGGTCGTGCTCCAGGTTCTCCTTGAAGTTGAGGTCTTCAGTGCTGGTGAAGCTGGGATCCATGTTGCCTAATCCATATGCTCTTGAAACGGCCAAAGACACAGCAGAAGCAGCAGAGGCTCCCGTTGTGGTGTTTCGCCTCTGGGCAACATAGGTCCGATTGGCTGCAACTTCATTGAAGTCGAAGAGCATGCTTTGTACGTCATAATGAGCAAATGTCTTTGGACAGACCCAAGGCTTGAAATTCTCTTCCGGTTCCATGAAGGACCTGCCTGGCTCATTCTCGCTCTTGCTGCTCCTCAGTTTACGGAAGATGGAAGAGTCATTTGACTCCCCTTTCGTGGCTCTTTTTCGTGTCTTGTCCTTATCCTTCAAAGAACCATCGTCTTTCAAATACTGCCCATTGCGCAGGTCTGTTCTGGAGCTCCCCACTAGGTGAAGGTTGGAAGCCATGCTGGAGTCCTCTCGAAGAATGCCACTTCCTTTGTCAGGTGACACAATCTCTGGGTCAGACTTTTCATTTCTGAAGTCTTTCAGAATGTCAAAGAAGCTCTGCTCTGATATTCCTTGTACATTGATTGACGAAGTGCTACCATATTCTCTAAAAAGAGGTATACCATTGCCAAGCCTTGTCCCTCTGTGTTCCAAATTTTCTTCCATATCACACTCACTGAGTGTTATCTCACTATTGCTTCGATTCCGAAGCGGTATAAAAGTCCTCACTGGTGACCTCGGCCAACCATCTTGGAACTCCACATCTTTTGACCTTTTCCTGGACAACCTATGAAGACCCCTAAAACCAGGGGAACCCCCATTGCTCTGAAAATGCTGTCCATTTTGATAGCTCCTTTGCATATGAAAGTCTTTTGACACATCAGTTTCCTTCAATGGACTGGAAGCTAATGTCTCTTTCAAGATCTCCTTCTTTGGAGGCCAGTCAGCAATCCTGGCACGTACACCCATCTTTGGCATTGCTGGGGTGATAGGATTAGCCCTCGAGCCATCCCCAGCTTGAGCAACTTGGATGCCATTACTGTTCTGGGACCAAAGGCCTTGTGGGTAGTAATCCATCCCTCTCCCAACATCATTTCCTCTACTTGACACTCCGGAGGCCTCCGCACCATCATTGTGATAAGATCTGTAACTTGTCATGCTCCGATACACACATACATATCCACAATGAACAAACAGGTTTTGCAGTTCTTTGTCAAAGCACAGTAGTCAACCATTGTTGAGAAGAGAATGAATTTGCATAGATGAAGAGAAGGGAAAACTAGGAAATAGAGAACTTCCTCTTATCACCGGTCCTCATATGCATATTAAAGAAGTACCCTGTTCGCTTGGCATTTCAGAAACATTGGGACTGACCTGTAGGGAACAAGGGATAACTGTATTATTCCACGACAGGATTAGATCTAAATATGCAACTAAAATACCACTTTGACAAAACCAGCATAGGAAAAGTTTAAGAGAAAGCTTACACATGGTTTAGAAAATAAGCGGAGTAAAATAGTTGCTATTATTGCTATTATTAAATATTTCCATAATCTTTAAACAATCAAACGAATAAAACAGGAGCTTCATTTAGCTCTATAACAACCATGTCTGTGACGTATGAAGAGATGTGCACTAGTGATGGACAATATTTTGCAAAGTAGATGCCTTATGGGTGGCCGAGCATCACGGCAACACGAGTATATAAAAATTACAATGAAGGTTAGTCTAACCAGGCTGCTGGAAGCTGTTTTATGAGGTTAGTCTTACCAGGTTCCTGGAAGGTGTTTTGTGAGGTTAGTCTAACCAGTCTCCTTGAAGGTGTTTTGTGAGGTTAGTCTAACCAGTCTCCTGGAAGGTGTTTTGTGAGGTTAGTCTTACCAATCTCCTGGAAGGTGTTTTGTGAGGTTAGTCTAACCAGTCTACTGGAAGGTGTTTTGTGAGGTTAGTCTTACCAATCTCCTGGAAGGTGTTTTGTGAGGTTAGTCTTACCAATCTCCTGGAAGCTGTTTTGTGAGGTTAATCTAACCAGTCTCCTGGAAGGTGTTTTGTGAGGTTAATCTAACCAGTCTCCTGGAAGGTGTTTTGTGAGGTTAGTCTAACCAGTCTCCTGGAAGCTGTTTTGTGAGGTTAGTCTAACCAGTCTCCTGGAAGGTGTTTTGTGAGGTTAGTCTAACCAGTCTCCTGGAAGCTGTTTTGTGAGGTTAGTCTAACCAGTCTCCTGGAAGGTGTTTTGAACAGTAGTAGCTTAATTTAGAGTCCAATGGGTTCTTTTAGCACTCCAGGAAAATTACACCAAAATTGCTACTGAATAACTGTATGTGATGCCAGTTACTAAAGGGGTGCATCCAAAACCATTTTATGTAATAAAATATAAATATATTACAGAAGATGTCCATTTTTCTGGACCCATTTAGGAACCCTGTCTGGTTAGCTAGGGGTCCCAAAGCACTTTGCCACCCTCCAGAATATGTCCCTACCAAACCATTCTTATATATATTACATATTGTTAGCTTTTGGGTAGATAGTGACATAGTTTGGAAGAGTGGCTATGGGCTTGGGTACCCATAACCACCTTGGAGAGGGCATTTTATGGGCCCATAAGAATGGACTGCGTCTGGGCTCTTATCAAGGTGGCTTTGATTAATAGGATTTATTTCTAGCTGGAAACTGTGATTTCTGATAATAGATGTATAATCACCTCCAAATATAATGTTACATCTGATTTCCGGGGCAAGGCTCTGCTAGAAGAACTGTAGCATTTGTTTACATACATCCCTTACGTTCCTCTGAGATCTCCAGGGTAAGACCATATTTTTCAGGAACTTTTCATGTCTATAATAAATAACTTTGTATTCTGTTAAAACTCCACTTTCCTAATTTTTTTAATATAAACTTTAAACAGCTTCAGAGTAACGTATTAAGATATTTTGCCTGGAGCGAAGTGGTGACCTAGTCATGCTTATGTTCTCCTGACTTCCCAGAAAGGGGAAAAAAAGTTAATGAAGAGGTAGTAGACATATATTGCAGCCTCTTAGCAGAAGAGGCAATGTCCAATTCAATAAGAAAACACTCAGAAGCCTACATTACAGACTGTGTCTTTGTAATAAGCTGTTAGATGAGTAGGTGTGCGGGCCCCTGTGCATGCTTTGTATAGTATACTGTCAGCCACCATGCATGCTGTGTCTACTCACCAGACTGCAAACAAACAGACGTTCAAAAATGCAGATCAAATGTAAATTGTTCCATCATGGGTGTGGGCTGCAAAAACAAAAGAAATTCAGAGGTCAACGTAACACAAAACAGTACAGGAAGTGCACTTGTATTCCATATAACAGCAAATATAAATTGTTCCCTTGCTGTGTAGCCCAGTGAATCACACACCACTGTTTTACTGCAGAACCTATTCATGGTTTTTTGTTTTTACAAAATTCAGAATAATCCACCTACTGATGGTAAAATCAACGCACACTCACTACAAAGGCTGATAGAGTAGACACCTCCAATTTCAGGACAGGGAATTAATCATTAACACTGATGTGACACTGTAACTGCCTATCGTTACAAGGCTTAACGACCCATGGGATGAGAAGGGTTAATGGGACAGTAATACCTAAATATTCACTGCTCTTATAAATCATTGAAAGCTAGTAACAGAGACAAGAGGTGCTTTAAACACACACACACACATTTGAAACCGAAACCTATTCTGATTGGTTCCCTGATGGTTTCAGCCAATAAGAATCAAGCAATAATGTATATCTTCATATAACTCATACCACATGAAACACTAAGACTGCAGGAGCAATAAAACACAGACTTCCGGTTCCAATAAAAGCAAAATAGGAAATACTATATTTCAATACGCTGTTGTTTTGGAAAAGTGTGATTTGTCTTTTAATGAGGGTATATTAGGTAAAGTTTAGAGCGCCAGCAGCCCGTGTGGATACGTTTTATGAATGATCACATTTCAAGATGGAGTCCTTATTTAAACACTACGACCATGGGGTTTAGACTATGAGCTGAGAATTATGGAAATTGAGAAACAGACAAACTGGAAAGCTATCTTAGCTGGAAGATCCTAAAATATGTCATTACCCCTTTAATCCTCCACAATTCTGATTTAGTGAAATTTTCTTTGTGCATTTCTTAATGGACAAACACAAACGCCAGCAGAAAGGTGTGTGATGGTGTTAACATGGACTGCTGACACACCATCACACGAATACATTGACATTATCGGTAATTATACATCGTCAAATTCTGCAGAGCTGGACATAAAAACAAAGTGACAGGAGGAGCTTACAGTCTACACGATAGGTAGTGATTTCACTTGGAATACACACCAAAAATACTTTCCATAAATATAGTTACTGAGTAAAGCAGAGCCGTCAAATAAACCAGGTGCGAACGCTTTGTACAATAACTACACAATGGGGTTCCATAAGGGGTTGAGCATTTTTTTTTTTCAAATTTCAGACATTTGAAACTTTTTTTTTTTTTTTTTTTAGACTGTTAGCCTGGTGGTCTTGACACAGCGAAAGCACCCAATTAAATGTAACCCCCACAAAACTGTGTACGTGGAGTCACGAAGGAAAGTCACATGTCAGAGGATACGTAAGAGGCCGTCAAGTAGCAACACAGTCACTGTGAACATGGCAGTGCGCCAAACATAAGTGTGTTTCTACTTGCATCTGCTGCACCACGAACCCTAGCGTTGCTAGATTGTGAGCTCACGGGCTGGGTCCTCTGTATCGGGATGTGCTTATTATTTGTCTTTATTCCCTCTTTTGTACAGCACTGCTGAATATGTTGGTGCTATATAAATAAGAAATAATAATAGGATTGCTGAGTAATCACTTTGAGTGAAGTGACAGTTCCATTTTATCTTGCAGCAACGTCCTCACAGGCCACAGCAAAATGGAGATCTTATGGAAATATTACTAACGGGAATCTGGTGATCTCAGGTGGTTAAAGCTCTGATTGTAGAAACAAATGGGACGGTCACAGCAAAATGGAGATCTCAGGGAAATGTTACTAACAGGAATCTGGTGATCTCAGTTGGTTAACGCTCTGATTGTACCAACAAATGGCCCTCCACAGCTACACAGAGTATGCCGTAAACCATGTCTTATGCACTGAGATCTACTCGTAGAATAGCTAACCAGCAGGGCTGGTAATGGAATTCCATCCAAAAATGGCTCATTATGCACAATAAAGGAATAGGGAACACACATTTCTTTACAATACTGACAGGTCAGACCTCGTCCCTCCACTCTGCACAGGTGCTGTAACACTCCTCCAACTCACTGTATTGCCAAAAGGGACACGTGTTCTAACCCCTCCTTACAGCTGGCCCTAACTTCTCCAGAACCAGCTGCTCCCTTTAAATCAAAGGGGACATTTTACAACCAGAAATAATCAGTGAATCCAACACTCTCTCACTGACTTCTACACACTATTTAACTGCTTACAGGGGGCTGTGCAACTGAGGAACAAAGACAGTAACATGTTTTTTAAAAAAAAAAAAAAAAAAAACACATTTTAATGTAGCGGTTGAGCACAGTAATCGCTGACCTAATGATAGTGACATGTTTAATGGGTTAAAGAGACAGTCCCATGTAGGAGCAAAGTGACCTAATGACAGCAACATGTTTAATGGGTTAAAGGGACAGTCCCATGTAGGAGCAAAGTGACCTAATGACAGCGACATGTTTAATGGGTTAAAGGGACAGTCCCATGTAGGAGCAAAGTGACCTAATGACAGCGACATGTTTAATGGGTTAAAGGGACAGTCCCATGTAGGAGCAAAGTGACCTAATGACAGCGACATGTTTAATGGGTTAAAGGGACAGTCCCATGTAGGAGCAAAGTGACCTAATGGCAGTGACATGTTTAATGGGTTAAAGGGACAGTCCCATGTAGGAGCACAGTGACCTAATGGCAGTGACATGTTTAATGGGTTAAAGGGACAGTCTCATGTAGGAGCAAAGTGACCTAATGACAGCGACATGTTTAATGGGTTAAAGGGACAGTCCCATGTAGGAGCACAGTGACCTAATGACAGTGACATGTTTAATGGGTTAAAGGACAGTCCCATGTAGCAAAGTGACCTAATGACCGAGACATGTTTAATGGGTTAAAGGTACAGTCCCATGTAGGAGCAAAGTGACCTAATGACATGTTTAATGGGTTAAAGGACAGTCCCATGTAGGAGCAAAGTGACCTAATGACAGCGACATGTTTAATGGGTTAAAGGGACAGTCCCATGTAGGAGCAAAGTGACCTAATGACAGCGACATGTTTAATGGGTTAAAGGGACAGTCCCATGTAGGAGCAAAGTGACCTAATGACAGTGACATGTTTAATGGGTTAAAGGGACAGTCCCATGTAGGAGCAAAGTGACCTAATGACAGCGACATGTTTAATGGGTTAAAGGGACAGTCCCATGTAGGAGCAAAGTGACCTAATGACAGCGACATGTTTAATGGGTTAAAGGGACAGTCCCATGTAGGAGCAAAGTGACCTAATGACAGCGACATGTTTAATGGGTTAAAGGGACAGTCCCATGTAGGAGCAAAGTGACCTAATGACAGTGACATGTTTAATGGGTTAAAGGGACAGTCCCATGTAGGAGCACAGTGACCTAATGACAGCGACATGTTTAATGGGTTAAAGGGACAGTCCCATGTAGGAGCACAGTGACCTAATGACAGTGACATGTTTAATGGGTTAAAGGGACAGTCCCATGTAGGAGCAAAGTGACCTAATGACAGTGACATGTTTAATGGGTTAAAGGGACAGTCCCATGTAGGAGCAAAGTGACCTAATGACAGCGACATGTTTAATGGGTTAAAGGGACAGTCCCATGTAGGAGCACAGTGACCTAATGACAGCGACATGTTTAATGGGTTAAAGAGACAGTCCCATGTAGGAGCAAAGTGACCTAATGACAGCGACATGTTTAATGGGTTAAAGGGACAGTCCCATGTAGGAGTAAAGTGACCTAATGACAGCGACATGTTTAATGGGTTAAAGGGACAGTCTCATGTAGGAGCAAAGTGACCTAATGACAGTGACATGTTTAATGGGTTAAAGGGACAGTCTCATGTAGGAGCAAAGTGACCTAATGACAGCGACATGTTTAATGGGTTAAAGGGACAGTCCCATGTAGGAGCAAAGTGACCTAATGACAGCGACATGTTTAATGGGTTAAAGCGATAGTCCCATGTAGGAACAAAGTGATCTAATGACAGCGACATGTTTAATGGGTTAAAGGGACAGTCCCATGTAGGAGCAAAGTGGCCTAATGACAGTGACATGTTTAATGGGTTAAAGGGACAGTCCCATGTAGGAGCAAAGTGACCTAATGACAGTGACATGTTTAATGGGTTAAAGGGACAGTCCCATGTAGGAGCAAAGTGGCCTAATGACAGTGACATCTTTAATGGGTTAAAGGGACAGTCCCATGTAGGGTCAAAGTGACCTAATGACAGTGACGTGTATAGTCCCTATACTAATAGACAGCATTTGATACATTGCAACAATTTAAAGGGACAACATAGGCACCCAGACCACTTCAGATCATTGAAACTGAAATAATATATATAATAATATATAATACATTGCAGGGTTAATATTACCTCTAGTGGCTGTCAATCAGACAGCCACTTTCTATTTGCTAGGCAACTTCTGGTCACCTGACACTGGACATCCTCACGCTCTGCTTTATGACATCCCATGTCAGAAAAAATCTCTATAGGAAAGCATTTATGCTCCCCTTGTCGGGTGATGTGGAAGAGGCGAAACGCCAACCGAGCACTGAGCGAGATCGCCGTTGGAATCAGGTAAGTACAGTAAGAGTTTACTATGGGGAAAGAGGAAGAAGCTAAATGCTCAGTATACAGCATTGTATTCCTAGCACTACAACATCCCTTTAAGACAAGTTAGGGGTTGTAGAATAACTAGTGTTATGTGTACACAGCCTGCCGGCCACCCACTGGCTGGGTAATCTCATACTGGCCTCCCAATACCTTCTGAAAGATATACTGAGTTTTCACCCGGGCTGAGAGGGTGTGTCGGGGTTCCCCGTGGACTGTCTGGGGTCCATCCCTCTTCCAGGAAGAAATTGGATCATTTGGACAGCATACAAAAAGAATGTGTGGTCTGGCTGGATATGTTTTGTGTTATCTTTACGTGTGAATTAAGGATAGACCGATTATCGTCCGATATTCAGGATTTTGGCAAATATCGGTATCGACTATTGATACCGATATTGCGAGAGGCGGCAGTGGCCCAGCGCGTCCATAAGGTGTAACACATGACCACATTTGGGCGCACCGGCTCTAGGGGCACAAGAATCGAGTGATTTGAAAATCTATGGATATCACTAAACAAAAATGTGGTATTTTGTAATATTCAAAACTTCAAACTTCAAAATATTTAAAAAAACATCTGGCAATTAAAAAACAAAAATTACTATTTTATAAATACAAGTGCCAGTAATCACTAAATGTTTTGATTTTACTGCATTAACAAAGAATTGTAGTCTATGTTGATACAGAGGGTGATCTTTAAAGGGGAACTGCCATTGCACAAGATTTTTAATATCATATGCAGATTTCCTCGTATCTAATCAACATGTACTTGTGAGGTGAAAAGATAAAATTAAATGTAGAAACCAACACCTCTTGTGCTGTAACTGGGCGCCTCCATCTTAACTCCCAGTCAGCCATTGTTATACGCTCTGTCCTGTAACTGGGCGCATCCGTCTTAGCTCCCCGTCAGCCATTGTTATACGCTCTGTCCTGTAACTGGGCGCCTCCATCTTAACTCCCAGTCAGCCATTGTTATACGCTCTGTCCTGTAACTGGGCGCATCCGTCTTAGCTCCCCGTCAGCCATTGTTATACGCTCTGTCCTGTAACTGAGCGCATCCGTCTTAGCTCCCCGTCAGCCATTGTTATACGCTCTGTCCTGTAACTGAGCGACTCCATCCTGGCTCCCCGGCATATAGAGAAGAGGAGAAATGATACAATGAAGGACATGTATCTAACAGTGTTATTCACTAATGCGAGTGAATTTCTGTTTTCAGGCAATCTATTCTAAATAGTCTGACTACTAACAGTAAAATAAGGCTATCTTCAGTTAGTATCCCTTACAATGTATTTAAAGGGATAATGCACACTGGAGCCAACTTCTCCCCAACTTTAATATTCTATTAGTGATGGCAGTGACAGCCAGCGGTGAAGCTCCAGATGTTTGTGAGAAAGGTTTCCCATGATGCTCTAGGTGAGAAACATGGGTAACATTAAAAACACCTGGAGCATCTCCCGAGATCCGCTGCCCCTCCTGTAGTGATGTTTACAGAGATCAGGAAATTATTGCTGTAATTCTCCCGTTGGTTTGAATGTGTAGGTAGAACATCTCCCGAGAGCCGCAGTCCCTCCTGAAGTGATGTTTACAGAGATCAGGAAATGATTGCTGTAATTCTCCCGTTGGTTTGAATGTTTAGGTAGAACATCTCCCGAGATCCGCTGCCCCTCCTGTAGTGATGTTTACAGTGACCAGGAAATGATTGCTGCAATTCTCCCGTTGGTTTGAATGTGTAGGTAGAACATCTCCCGAAACCCGCTGCCTCTCCTGTAGTGATGTTTACAGAGATCAGGAAATGATTGCTGTAATTCTCCCGTTGGTTTGAATGTGTAGGTAGAACATCTCCCGAGATCCACTGTCCCTCCTGTAGTGATGTTTACAGAGATCAGGAAATTATTACTGTAATTCTCCCGTTGGTTTCAATGTGTAGGTAGAACATCTCCCGAGATCCGCTGATGTTTACAGAGATCAGGAAATGATTGCTGTAATTCTCCCGTTGGTTTGAATGTGTAGGTAGAACATCTCCCGAGATCCGCTGCCCCTCCTGAAGTGATGTTTACAGAGATCAGGAAATGATTGCTGTAATTCTCCCGTTGGTTTGAATGTGTAGGTAGAACATCTCCCGAGATCCGCTGCCCCTCCTGTAGTGATGTTTACAGTGAACAGGAAATTATTGTAATTCTCCAGTTGGTTGCAATGTGTAGGTAGAACATCTCCCGAGATCCGCTGCCCCTCCTGAAGTGATGTTTACAGAGATCAGGAAATGATTGCTGTAATTCTCCCGTTGGTTTGAATGTGTAGGTAGAACATCTCCCGAGATCCGCTGCCCCTCCTGAAGTGATGTTTACAGAGATCAGGAAATGATTGCTGTAATTCTCCCGTTGGTTTGAATGTGTAGGTAGAACATCTCCCGAGAGCCGCAGTCCCTCCTGAAGTGATGTTTACAGAGATCAGGAAATGATTGCTGTAATTCTCCCGTTGGTTTGAATGTTTAGGTAGAACATCTCCCGAGATCCGCTGCCCCTCCTGTAGTGATGTTTACAGAGATCAGGAAATGATTGCTGTAATTCTCCCGTTGGTTTCAATGTGTAGGTAGAACATCTCCCGAGATCCGCTGATGTTTACAGAGCTCAGGAAATGATTGCTGTAATTCTCCCGTTGGTTTGAATGTGTAGGTAGAACATCTCCCGAGAGCCGCAGTCCCTCCTGAAATGATGTTTACAGAGCTCAGGAAATGATTGCTGTAATTCTCCCGTTGGTTTGAATGTTTAGGTAGAACATCTCCCGAGATCCGCTGCCCCTCCTGTAGTGATGTTTACAGAGATCAGGAAATGATTGCTGTAATTCTCCCGTTGGTTTGAATGTTTAGGTAGAACATCTCCCGAGAGCCGCAGTCCCTCCTGAAGTGATGTTTACAGTGACCAGGAAATTATTGTAATTCTCCAGTTGGTTTGAATGTGTAGGTAGAACATCTCCCGAGATCCGCTGCCCCTCCTGTAGTGATGTTTACAGAGATCAGGAAATGATTGCTGTAATTCTCCCGTTGGTTTGAATGTTTAGGTAGAACATCTCCCGAGATCCGCTGCCCCTCCTGTAGTGATGTTTACAGTGACTAGGAAATTATTGTAATTCTCCAGTTGGTTTCAATGTGTAGGTAGAACATCTCCCGAGATCCGCTGCCTCTCCTGAAGTGATGTTTACAGAGATCAGGAAATTATTGCTGTAATTCTCCTGTTGGTTTGAATGTGTAGGTAGAACATCTCCCGAGATCCGCTGCCCCTCCTGAAGTGATGTTTACAGTGACCAGGAAATGATTGCTGCAATTCTCCCGTTGGTTTGAATGTGTAGGTAGAACATCTCCCGAAACCCGCTGCCTCTCCTGTAGTGATGTTTACAGAGATCAGGAAATGATTGCTGTAATTCTCCCGTTGGTTTGAATGTGTAGGTAGAACATCTCCCGAGATCCACTGTCCCTCCTGTAGTGATGTTTACAGAGATCAGGAAATTATTACTGTAATTCTCCCGTTGGTTTCAATGTGTAAGTAGAACATCTCCCGAGATCCGCTGATGTTTACAGAGATCAGGAAATGATTGCTGAAATTCTCCCGTTGGTTTGAATGTGTAGGTAGAACATCTCCCGAGATCCGCTGCCCCTCCTGAAGTGATGTTTACAGAGATCAGGAAATGATTGCTGTAATTCTCCCGTTGGTTTGAATGTGTAGGTAGAACATCTCCCGAGATCCGCTGCCCCTCCTGTAGTGATGTTTACAGTGAACAGGAAATTATTGTAATTCTCCAGTTGGTTGCAATGTGTAGGTAGAACATCTCCCGAGATCCGCTGCCCCTCCTGAAGTGATGTTTACAGAGATCAGGAAATGATTGCTGTAATTCTCCCGTTGGTTTGAATGTGTAGGTAGAACATCTCCCGAGAGCCGCAGTCCCTCCTGAAGTGATGTTTACAGAGATCAGGAAATGATTGCTGTAATTCTCCCGTTGGTTTGAATGTGTAGGTAGAACATCTCCCGAGATCCGCTGCCCCTCCTGTAGTGATGTTTACAGAGATCAGGAAATGATTGCTGTAATTCTCCCGTTGGTTTGAATGTGTAGGTAGAACATCTCCCGAGATCCGCTGCCCCTCCTGTAGTGATGTTTACAGTGACCAGGAAATTATTGTAATTCTCCAGTTGGTTTCAATGTGTAGGTAGAACATCTCCCGAGATCCGCTGATGTTTACAGAGATCAGGAAATGATTGCTGTAATTCTCCCGTTGGTTTGAATGTTTAGGTAGAACATCTCCCGAGAGCCGCAGTCCCTCCTGAAGTGATGTTTACAGTGACCAGGAAATTACTGTAATTCTCCCGTTGGTTTGAATGTTTAGGTAGAACATCTCCCGAGATCCGCTGCCCCTCCTGTAGTGATGTTTACAGTGACCAGGAAATTATTGTAATTCTCCAGTTGGTTTCAATGTGTAGGTAGAACATCTCCCAGGTATCCACGCTGAACATTGAGCATCACGCTTTTACTCCCAATATCTGTAACATTCACAGTATGTATTATCAGGGCTTTTCACTAAAGTGACTTTCAAATTCAAGGTAAAAATAGTCAAAGTGGAAAGACTGATTTTCATGCATCATTTGTAGGGATGTAATGTAAGTGACCTCCAGGTCAGTACACACATTAATCATTTACAAGCAATCTCACCGGCGCAATATATAGATAAATGTATGCATCCCCAGTATGACATGGTCACTTTAACTCTGCTTTTAGAAGTGGTCATTGTGCAAGCAATCTGTATGCGCAGTGTTTTAGCGGTCTATTCAGAGATATCCATAAAGCTGTGTGTTGTAGTAACACCTCCGGCACATGTGAGCTAGTCAGCCTGGGATTTTGTTCCAGACGGCCTAATGTCAGTTCTGCGCATAAAAAATGGTCATGGTCTATATGCACTGCGGACGGACATAATGAGCTTCTCCTGCAGGCAGCGCAGTGAACCAGTGGGACTGTGTGTGCAGCTCAATCACACAATCCAGATAACTCATTTAAAGGGACAGCACAAGGTCAGTTATTTATATCGCCAACATATTCTGCAGCACTGTACAATAGGAAACAAAACAAACGTTTAATTCTAACAAAACATGAATGACATACGGAAACAGTAGGTCAAGAGGGCCCTGTCCAAAGAGCTCTCAAACTAAATTGTCCCCTAGCTCTCCAATACCAGACCTCTCAGCTCTCTACATTAGATTTTGCAGTACTTGATTTTTATCTCTTCCCTTGTCTACACCCTGACCTACCCTATGTGCAGCTGACATTCCCCGATTGCGTCTTAAAGAGATGCATGGGATTCAATGCTTCTCTATCAATGCTCGCCATACATGCGCCCCTAGGTCCAACAATGCTCCGTTATAAGAAGAATGAGATTGGACCCCAAAGAGGGAACCAGTGATGCGGCAGGAGAAATTAGCCCAGCATTGGATTCAAGGTAAGTTTTACCTTATTTTGAATAGTTTTTTTGACCAAAAAATGAAGCATAAAATAGGGTTGGAGTAACCCTTTAAAGAGGGTTAAGATGGCCTAACTCTCCATACAGGGTGGCAAAGATATGATACTAGAGAGTACCTTGTATCTAGCAGTGCTAAAATCAAAAATTGATCTGAATTTTGTGTAATGTATTGTTGCTGATGACGTATAAAGGCTGTTCAAAAGCCCCTTTTTTCATAAAACCACCCTATTTCCAGAGAGGTACATGGCCAGTGATATTTTTAGTGTGGTAATATATGGAGGTTGTAGTTTTCAAAACATGCCCTGTATTGAAGAAGAAAGTACGGAACGGAGTTCATCCTAACAACCAACTAAAGTCCAATCAAGGGGCTGAGGTCCATTTAGTTCTACAATGAAGTAAAGCCAATGAGTTTAAAGAGCGCCCACACAAATTGGGGGAGGGGAGAATAAAACACATGCAGAATGAATAATTGTGTTATGCTAAAATGAGAACACGAGAGAGATTTGTTTTATTAAGTCGTCAATTGAAAAGAATTCAAATAAAGTCTAATCTGTTTCCATGGAAGTGCAATATAGGGGTGCCTGAAACGGCCATTTTACTAAATATATCCAAGTGCGTTTACAAGAACATTGTGTTAACACAGACAGATTGTTGCTCACGTGCCATGCTTCCAGAGAGACTGTTACTTCTACATGTCTGCATATTACACTGCGGACAACCAGCTTCGCATCTAACATTCAGTGTGACTAGGTACACATTTTCTAGCCCTGTAATGATCTCTCCAGTAGTAACCTGCAATGTTGTCTCTATGTGCCGTATTACATGATAAACCTTTATAACCCTGCATACAGGTACTTAATGGACGCTTCAACTATATTCCCTAACAAGATGAGTGATAAATTCACATACAGAGATCTCCTATTGACTGTTCTTATAAAGTGATCTGCACTTGTGAGATTAAATGCACATATGAATAATTTATGAGACTATCCAATCAGATATAGTGTTTGTTTCTAATCTACTTATACCTAATGAAACTGAGCAGATGCCCTGATTCTGAAATCTAGTAATGAGAGAAACAAACAGACCAGCAGTTTAATCCAAAGAATTTACTGATCAGAATGACAATAAGCCAAGTTTATTGCTGTGTGCTAATTAAGTCTTCCCAGGTTGAAGCAGTTGGTACAGAGAGGTAGGTAATCCCTAATTGCTTGGTTAGTTTCACTCCAACTCCCATTTATTCACAGCTATTTCTGGTCATCTGTAGCCCTGATCTCTGAGCACTGATTATTTTAATGAGTCCAAGGGCCCCTCGTGGCTGCAAAGTGACTCGAGCAATGTAATGGGTCTAACGTGGTAAAGTGTTTCTCTACCCCTGCAGTCTCAATGTGACCCGATGACAGTGACATATTTAAAGGTTTCCAGCCTATATCTTCTCCACCCTCACCCCGCACATTTTATCCAGGATGCACCCTGAGGCACTGTTCTAATAAACCATATGGGTTTGTGTCAGTGTCCATCGGGAGCCCACGACCACCCACTTCTCCCCAAAGCGAGTTGCTGTTGAATGAGATGAATCTTTATGGAGGTAATTAGTTATGACATACTTCTAGCCAGATCAGCTCACACTCCGATGACCTATTTGTGAAGTCCTCGGCGAGTAAGCAGCTATGTCACATTTTATTTGGCGCAGTCTATTGGAGAGCTAACCCTTTGAAAGCTAGAATGAGTTAGGGATCCGAGCTCCCTCTTTCATCCCAAAGTATCTCACTGGATAAAATGTGTCTGAGCCTTATATCTGCCTCATACATAGCAGCATTACAAGGATAAGCAACGTGGCAGCACAGCCTGGCACTGGTCAGCAGGACACCAAGCGGTATGGCTTTCTGCACAGCGGAAATATGTGTTAAAATAACACATTCTGTTCAAGTCAGATGAAGAGCTTCAGGGTATTGTTTCCTAATAATCCTACTAAACCACTGGCACTATGTTTGCAGGCTCAGTCTATTACGGCTTCTAAAGAGCCCTTTGATAGAAAGCTAAGAGGTCCCCAACCAAACAGAAGGGGTATTGGGGACAGGGGCAAGAAGACATGGTTTAGCGTCTGCATGAAAGGCATTCGTGAGTCCCTGTGCTTGTCACTACCATAGATATCTGGAAAGAAACACAATGACAAGTGTAGAGCTCGCTTAAGGCTCACATCAAAAACTGTAAAACACTTTGCAGTATCTCTCTTAGGGAGAGAGAGGGACAGGAGACGTCAGGGTGAAAACCTAAGAAGAAAGCAAAATGCTGGGTAAATGGTTCCACGATCTGTCATCCTGTCTTGTTCTTGACAGTAACTTTCTGATTATAGCACCCGTCCTGGGTGCACCAGCCACCAGTCAAAATAGCTCAACCTGCAGGTGAAGGTGGCTGTCAGAGTGATGGTTCACCGGCACAATCTAACAAAGTCTTGCTCACACATCCTTCACAACTAACTAGTCTCTAAACCAAACCCACCAAAGGGTCTCTGTCCTCTAAGTTATTCCACGTGTAACTATTACTGTGCCCTGAAAGCACACATCCTGCTCGATGTCACAATGGCTATATTGAAAGACTGGTGCCAAGGGAATATGCCACTGACCTGTATCTTTAGTTAAGTAAATTAAAAAGAAAAAATGTTATGCAAATGAAATATAAGTCCAAAGGAGAAAAACAGTACTGTGCAAACGTCTTAGATTTGTTGTTTTAGCAATGATATAATGACCATATAGAATTAAAGGTATCACTCTATTTTTATACAACCAGAAAATACAGGAAATTTTTACGCAGTATGCATACTAGGCCACTCTCAAAGGGAGGCCAAGTAGACCATTCTACAGTCCAAAGACGTTTGAGGTCTTTGCAGACTGGTTGCAGCCAAGAAACCACTTTTCCAGAAGGGGAACAGGGTGAAAAAGCCAAAATATGCAAATATTGGAATGTATGCCCTTCCACAAAGACCATCAAGCTTCTTCGGACTGTAGAATGGTCAACTTGGCCTCCCAATAACGCTGCCAGATACTGAACCAGGTCCTTGTTGGACTTCATCCGGTCTGTCAAAGAAGAAACTCAGACACTTCTCAGATTTTGAACATTTTCTTCGTCTTCCAGTTCTTTTTTTGTCCATGACCTGTCCTGAATCTTCAAATTTCTTTATAACCATTAGAATGGCACATTTCGAATATACAGTTTGTTTGCGGATTTCCCTTTTGGAGTGGCCTTGCATACATACTTTATTTTCTGGTTGTATTCTAATAAAGAGACTGAAGAAAAATTATGTATGGTCATTATACCATTGCTAGAACAACAAATCTACTGGTGGCCTAAGACTCTTATACAGTACTGTAAAAAAATAAAGTTTTTTTAAAAGCAACCATAGCTTCCCACTTTGGCCAGCTGTTTCGCCATAGGCTGCACCATTTCAGTGGAATTATCTCCCCTGCCCACCGGAATCCCTGAACATCTGTCTCCGTAATGCCAAGCACTAAACGCCAAGACAATCTGAAACCGCCTGATCATAAACAAGATTGGCAGCTCTCAGGAACAAGCTCTGAGTTCTTTCAATTCCAGTTGTGGCTTCTTAATTAGACTGACATACATTGCACTAAGACACGGAATACATTATCATCTGTGTATCCACGATCTCTCTAGGAAGATTGAATCAGGCAGATCTTAGGCCTCATTCTGTAAACAATGTTACTTTGGTTGGTACTCCATTTAAATGTCATTACTTTTCTTAATATTATTTTCACACTTCTTTTGGATCTACTGGATTGTGGAGGATGGATCTATGTGTAACTTGTCTCGATAAGCAGGTAGCTATGGATTTAATTTGAAATGAGGGGTTTGAGCTGAAAGAGTCAGACAATGTAATTTGGTTAGACATGACAAGAACACAGTGGCTTGCATGCTGTGGCTGATCATAGTAATTCAATAAAAATTTAAATCTATCCAATTTTCAGGGAATAATGATTGAATTAAAATCTCACCCTTATTAAACCATGAAATTTGCCACTCGTAGTTATGTTTCTGAATCATTGCAGGGTTTAGAGAACTCAGTATGTGCCCACAGATACCAGGTTATGATTAACAGCTATCAGGGGCATCACTAGGTTAGGGTAGAGGGGGCCATAGCCTCCTACATCATGCAGTGCTCCCTCCCCACCAATTGTAATCGAAGCTAAGCTGGGAGCACATAGCCTCCCTTCACAAGCTGCAGCAGCAGATCATGGGGTGGGTGGAATTCGCACATGTGGCCATCGCTATGCTGCGAGTAACTTCCTGCTGGGGGGGGGGCAGGGGGGCGCAGAGAAGATGGCTCAGTCTGTGTGTGTGTTGGTCAGTTTGTGGGGGTGAGGAAGGGTTCAGTCTGTGTGTGTATGGGTGTGTATGAGTCAGTCTGTGTCTGTGTGGATCAGTCTGTGTATGTATGGGGTCAATATATGTGTTTGTAAGGGTCAGTCTGTGTGTGTTTATGGGTCAGTCTGTTGGGAAGGACACTGTATGTATAGGGTCAGTATATGTGTTTGTATGGGTCGGTCAGTGTGTGTGTGTGTGTGTGTGTGTGTGTGTGGTCTGTGTGGTTCAATCTGTGTGTGTGTGCGTGTAAAGGGTCAGGTCTGTGTGTGTACAGGTCAGTCTGTGTGTAGTGGTGTGTGTGTGTGTGTATGGATCAGTCTGTGTGTGTGTGTGTGTATGGGTCAGTCTGTGTGTATGAATGGGTCACTCTGTGGGGGAGAGGAGAGGTGCCTGTGTATTGGTCAGTCTGTGTGTCCGTATGGATCAGTCTGTGTGTGTATGGGTCGGTCTGTGTATGAATGGGTCACTCTGTGGGGGAGAGGGAGGGTGTCTGTGTGTCCGTATAGATCAGTCTGTGTGTATGGGTCGGTCTGTGTATGAATGGGTCACTCTGTGGGGGAGAGGGAGGGTGTCTGTGTATTGGTCAGTCTGTGTGTCCGTATGGATCAGTGTGTGTGTGTGTGTGTATGGGTCAGTCTGTGTATGAATGGGTCACTCTGTGGGGGAGAGGGAGGGTGTCTGTGTATTGGTCAGTCTGTGTGTCCGTATGGATCAGTCTGTGTGTGTGTGTGTGTGTATGGGTCAGTCTGTGTATGAATGGGTCACTCTGTGGGGGAGAGGAGAGGTGTCTGTGTATTGGTCAGTCTGTGTGTCCGTGATGGATCAGTCTGTGTGTGTGTGTGTGTGTGTGTGTGTGTATGGGCAGTCTGTGTATGAATGGGTCACTCTGTGGGGGAGAGGGAGGGTGTCTGTGTATTGGTCAGTCTGTGTGTCCGTATGGATCAGTCTGTGTGTGTGTGTGTATGGATCAGTCTGTGTGTGTGTGTGTGTGTATGGGTCAGTCTGTGTATGAATGGGTCACTCTGTGGGGGAGAGGAGAGGTGTCTGTGTATTGGTCAGTCTGTGTGTCCGTATGGATCAGTTTGTATGTGGGTGGGTGTGTGTGTGTGTGGACCTCCCCCCCCCTTAAAGGGAAACTATCGTGCTAGGAAAACAAGTTGTTTTCTTGACACTGTTCCTCCATATAGTGAGCTGATATGGTGTACTGTAAATTGTAAAATTCAGTATTATACCTGTAGCTTCTAGTGCCACGTACACAGCGTGACGTCACCCCTGCTTTACAGGATCTGAAAAAAAAAAAGGAAGGGCAAATCTGTAATCAGCTAATTATTTATTGGAATTTTAGATAATATGCGTTCAGGAAAAGTGTCATTGTATGGCACCTGAAATATTATACACTATTTTGTTGTATTAGTTTGGAAAATGATGCATTTACATCTATTTTTGTTTGTTTTAATCAGTTAAGTCATTTTGGAGTGAGGAAACAAACCCTATTGGATATGGAGTGCCTTTAGGGATTATAGGAAAATGCATTCTGTCGTGGACGCTTTGAATAAATCTCTTTATATGATTTTGTTTTAATGCATGTGGTTTGTTTGTGTTGTGATAAATGTTGGTGCTATGTGCAGAGTGTTTTGTAAACAGGATTTCCTGGTTTATTTAATACGGTGTTCATTTACCTTTAGCCCTTTGATTATAATTGAAACTTTTCAAACTACAATTAAAGTTAGATGTTATTCACCTGTAACAGACAAGACAAGTAAAAACAAAGCAATAAAAGAGGATTATTTTTAACCAGTTAGGTGAATTCTGCACAGCAGGATTAGTCTGGCAATAAAAATACAGTGAATCGAAGCTCATGGCTCTCAAACAATGAATACTATCAGAAGATCCAGGAATTCCCCATAATTATCCATCATTTTGGTTATACAGGGGTTGCAGATTAAATAATCCCCTAGAATTATCAGACGTACATAGATGCCACAATTTGGATGATAACCTTCACATACACGAATACACTGTATACTTGGTGTAGACGTTCCCTGTCACTGATGTAAATACTACATGAATGAAGATTCTATGAATATCGAATCAGACTCAATGTACGAGACTATTCGAACAACTTATTCCCTGGAGAGATGGAAAGATGTGTAAAGGACAGACATAGCGTTTCTTCCCCATTACTAAACAGACCCCTCCAGATATCGAGAGAACGTGTAAGGCTGTAACATTAGGATGCAGTGCTGAAACCTCCCCACAGCTGCATTTAACAGAACATCTCAAGGGGCAAATGTGCAAGAGGTTTGTATTGCAAATTCATTTTATTAGTCATGGCTGACTGTGGATCACTGTGACTGGACTTTACTCATATCTTCCTGTGTAGTCATTCTGTCCCTCAACACACTCAATCTGCGCCAATCTATGTGAACATTTCCTAAACTAAGAACAAATAATTAAAATGTAATTTTAAAGTATTTACCATGTCAGGGAAAAATCAATGTGTCAAATATTCTACATGGGACTGTCCTTTTAACTCATTAGACCTGTCACTGTCATTAGGTCATTGTGCTCCTACAAGGGACTGTTCTTTTAACCCATTATTATTTTATTATTTATACAGCGCCATCAGATTCCGAAGCGCTGTACAAAGGGTGGACTAACAGACATTTAATTGTCACCAGACAACTGGACGTACAGGAACAGAGAGGTGGAGGGCCCTGTTCAATGAGCTTACATTCTAGAGGGAGTGGGGTAAAGTGACACAAAGCGTAAAAGTAGGGGTATGAAGTAAGATGATAGAAAAGTATTCGCTGAGGGCTTGGTAGGTAATTTTGACAGTTGCAGGAGAGGAGTCATGGAGGGTGGGGGATGAAAACCTGCTAACAGTTTAATTGGTATGCTTTCTTGAAGAAGTGAGTTTTCAATGATTTTTTTGAATGAGTGGAAACTGGGTGAAATTCTTACGGAGGAGGGAAGGAAGTTCCACAGAAGAGGTGCAGCCCTGGAAAAGTCTTGGAGTACGGACAGAGGATATAAGTAGGTCTTTGGCAGAGCGTAGGGGCCTCAACGGACATACTTGTGTATTAGGGAGGCTAGGTAGGTTGGAGCAGCATTATGTAGGGACTTGTAAGCAAGCACCAGAATTTTAAATTGAGCCCTATATCTAACTGGGAGCCAATGCAAGGACTGACAGAGCAGGGAAGCATGGGAGGTGCGAGCGGACAGGAAAATGAGCCTTGCCCCCGCATTCATTAGATTGCAACGGTGCAATCTAAGAACACGTAAGACCACTGAGAAGAGTACTGCAGTATGTCATTGCCATTAGGTAACTTTGCTACTACATGGGACTGTCCCTTTAACCATGTCACTGTCATTAGGTTACGGTGCTCCTACATGGGACTGTCTCTAACCCATTAAACATGTCACTGCCATTAGGTCACGTTGCTCCTACATGGGACTGTCCTTTTAACCCATTAAACATGTCGCTGTCATTAGGTCACTTTGTTCCTACATGGGACTCTCCTTTTAACCCATTAAACATGTCACTGTCATTAGGTCACTTTGTTCCTACATGGGACTGTCCCTTTAACCTATTAAACAAGTCACTGTCATTAGATTACTTTCTTCCTACATGGGACTGTCCATTTAACCAATTAAACATGTCACTGTCATTAGGTCTCTTTGCTCCTACATGGGACTGTCCCTTTAACCCATTAAACATGTCACTGTCATTAGGTCACTTTGCTCCTACAGGTCACTGGGGTAATTCAAAGATTATACTTTGGTGTTATTTGCCCAAAATGGACAAATATTTATCACATTATCCGGGCAGCTGCAGAAGGTTTGTGTCTTGACAGCCAATTTTTTTCGTATTTATTTTCTTGAACAAAGTTTCACAGAAAAGCGGTGGAAGGCATCCAAAATCTCCCAGCACCATAACCACAAGTGGTGCTTATGTATGTGCCTAGTTGGTAGAGAATGCAAAAGGGGCAAAATGAATTGCTGTTTGGCGAAAAACATTAAAAAACCAAGAGCGCGGATCTAGGTCCGATGGCACAATGCCTCAGGAAAGTGTAACCTGGAGATTCGGTGATCTAAGCCAAACAGACACCCAGGATTCACAGCTGTATTGTTACTGACTGCAGTAGAGTGCTTTAAAAAGCACTCTGATTGGGAGTACATATGAACTATTAATACTTATCTTTTTTTTTTTTTTTTTTACAGATATTTTATCATACAGAAGTACTCTCCTTTTAAACACTCTATAGGGGGACAAATCAAAGACCGGCAGAAAAGAAAAATGAGATAGCTGTAAGTGCCATGTACAATATTTTACTTTAGGGATCAATGAAATAATGGTGTCTGTGATGGCAGGATAATTATCTCTTCCTATAACCCCGGCACAATGAAAGAACACAGAACAGCTATCGCCGTACAGACAATGACTCCCTTGTGTCCGAACCTAAAGTAGTATTGTAGCAATCCTTGAGGGAAAAGCATGACTCCATGGGAGATGACAAAAACAGATCCGGTTACCTAATTATCTAAACTTAGCTTTGGAAGATAATGAGTTTTCATACAGCTCTGTGATGTGGTGCGAAATACACCACAAACACATAAAAAAGCATAAATATTAAAAAGACAATATAGTGCAGTGAATGCACACAATGTAGTTGTTTCCGGATCAATTGCTTTCTCGCATGTGCGACCATGTGCAACAACTAAATTCAATTTAGCACTCCCGGGTAAATGTATATTTCAGATAAATACTATAGGAAGTGTTAAATGGGTCTCAAAATTTTATTTATGGATAATAAAAAAAAGAAATTAAAATAATTAAATCATGCACAAAAACTAAACCACATAGAAAACAATCAGCATGACATGTTTAATGGGTTAAAGGGACAGTCCCATGTAGGAGCAAAGTGACCTAATGACAGCGACATGTTTAATGGGTTAAAGGGACAGTCCCATGTAGGAACAAAGTGATCTAATGACAGTGACATGTTTAATGGGCTAAAGGGACAGTCCCATGTAGGAACAAAGTGATCTAATGACAGCGACATGTTTAATGGGTTAAAGGGACAGTCCCATGTAGGAACAAAGTGATCTAATGACAGTGACATGTTTAATGGGTTAAAGGGACAGTCCCATGTAGGAACAAAGTGACCTAATGACAGCGACAAGTATAATGGGTTAAAGGGACAGTCCCATGTAGGAGCAAAGTGACCTAATGACAGCGACATGATTAATGGGTTAAAGGGACAGTCCCATGTAGGAGCCAAGTGACCTAATGACAGCGACATGATTAATGGGTTAAAGAAACAGTCCCATGTAGGAGCAAAGTGACCTAATGACAGCGACAAGTATAATGGGTTAAAGGGACAGTCCCACGAAGGAGCAAAGTGACCTAATGACAGCGACATGTTTAATGGGTTAAAGGGACAGTCCCATGTAGGAGCAAAGTGACCTAATGACAGCGACATGATTAATGGGTTAAAGGGACAGTCCCATGTAGGAGCAAAGTGACCTAATGACAGCGACAAGTATAATGGGTTAAAGGGACAGTCCCATGTAGGAGCAAAGTGACCTAATGACAGCGACATGTTTAATGGGTTAAAGGGACAGTCCCATGTAGGAGCAAAGTGATCTAATGACACCGACAAGTATAATGGGTTAAAGGGACAGTCCCATTTAGGAGCACAGTGACCTAATGACAGCAACATGTTTAATGGGTTAAAGGGACAGTCCCATGTAGGAGCACAGTGACCTAATGACAGCAACATGTTTAATGGGTTAAAGGGACAGTCCCATGTAGGAACAAAGTGACCTAATGACAGCAACATGTTTAATGAGTTAAAGGGACAGTCCCATGTAGGAGCAAAGTGACCTAATGACAGCAACATGTTTAATGGGTTAAAGGGACAGTCCCATGTAGGAGCAAAGTGACCTAATGACAGCAACATGTGTAATGGGTTAAAGTGACCTAATGACAGCGACATGTTTAATGGGTTAAAGGGACAGTCCCATGTAAGAGCAAAGTGACCTAATGACTGTGACATATTTAATGAGTTAAAGGGACAGTCCCAGGTAGGAGCAAAGTGACCTAATGACAGTGACATGTTTAATGGGTTAAAGGGACAGTCCCATGTAGGAGCACAGTGACTTAATGACAGCGACATGTTTAATGGGTTAAAGGGACAGTCCCATGTAGGAGCAAAGTGACCTAATGACAGTGACATGTTTAATGGGTTAAAGGGACAGTCCCATGTAGGAGCAGAGTAACCTAATGACAGTGTCATGTTTGATGGGTTAAAGTGACGTGTATACATATGGCACCATGGAAAAGTGAACAAGTGCGTATCTTTTATGGGATTCCTTAATCAATGCCTGATCTCATATAGAAATGACAGATGCGTCACAGGGAGCCTGGACTTAGAAATGTTGTGATGGTGGAGGCCTTTTGTTTTCCACTTACCTCCATTACACTTCTCCCCAAAGTAAGCTCTTTATTAGCATTTACTGAGGTGAGGGAATCAGAGACTGTCACTTTAAGAGTAGCATTAGATCTGCATTAACGATTTTTTTTTTTTTTTTTTTTTTTACAGTTGCTAGGTACATTTTACATATAGTTTGTAATTGTATGATTATAGCAGACATTGTGTCCCTATAAATGGGTCAGTCCCATGCAATAGCCCAGTGACAGGTTTATAGAGTTAAAACTCTTTCTGTCCAGCTGGTGGCATACAGAAGCAATGTGCCTGACTGAATCCTATTTAACATGCAGAGACTTCCTCTGAGCAGACAGAGAGATACAATCTGAGCTGTTTTACAAAATGCTCATTAAACCAGGCACTGAGAGAGATAATAAATAAGATATGGGCAAAGGAAAGGTCTCTGCAATGCTAAGACCCTGCCTTATCAGGATACGACATGCTGGCTGTTTAAATCTTCCTATTACTCCATATATCTTTCATAACACTATATAACCCTCCCTATAACTCCTCCTATTACTCCCTATAACTCCTCCTATTACTTCCCTATAACTCCTCCATATTACACTGCCTATAACTCCTCCATATAACTCTCCCTATAACTCCTCCATATTACACTGCCTATAACTCCTCCATATAACTCTCCCTATAACTCCTCCATATAACTCTCCCTATAACTCCTCCATATAACTCTCCCTATAACTCCTCCATATAACTCTCCCTATAACTCCTCCATATAACTCTCCCTATAACTCCTCCATATAACTCTCCCTATAACGCCTCCATATAACTCTCCCTATAACTCCTCCATATTACCCTGCCTATAACTCCTCCATATTACCCTCCCTATAACTCCTCCATATAACACTGCCTATAACTCCTCCATATAACTCTGCCTATAACTCCTCCATATTACCCTGCCTATAACTCCTCCATATTACCCTGCCTATAACTCCTCCATATTACCCTGCCTATAACTCCTCCATATTACCCTGCCTATAACTCCTCCATATTACCCTGCCTATAACTCCTCCATATTACCCTGCCTATAACTCCTCCATATTACCCTGCCTATAACTCCTCCATATTACCCTGCCTATAACTCCTCCATATTACACTGCCTATAACTCCTCCATATTACAATGCCTATAACTCCTCCATATTACACTGCCTATAACTCCTCCATATTACCCTGCCTATAACTCCTCCATATTACCCTGCCTATAACTCCTCCATATTACCCTGCCTATAACTCCTCCATATTACCCTGCCTATAACTCCTCCATATTACCCTGCCTATAACTCCTCCATATTACCCTGCCTATAACTCCTCCATATTACCCTGCCTATAACTCCTCCATATTACACTGCCTATAACTCCTCCATATTACACTGCCTATAACTCCTCCATATTACACTGCCTATAACTCCTCCATATTACACTGCCTATAACTCCTCCATATTACACTGCCTATATCTCCTCCATATTACACTGCCTATAACTCCTCCATATAACTCTCCCTATAACTCCTCCATATTACCCTGCCTACAGGGCCAGATTAAGAGCCCAGTGGGCCTGGTGCTGACAATTATGACGGGCCTAATTACAGAATCATATCGAACAAAAACAGTAAAACACTCCCAAGCATCATGTACCTGATGGAGATGGTGCTGGAGAGAATATAGCTATAAGAAAACACGGTATGGGTAGGCTAATCTATCACTAATTTATGTCTTCATCTTTCAAGTAAATCCATAACCCCTAAGCAGGAAGTCAATGGGCACTGTAAAAGGGTGTGCCACTGACACAAATCACGTAACCTGCCAAAAGGGGCGAACATGCCCAAAAAGAGGATATGTCTGCCCAAAGAATTAGAAGGCCAGCCTGGTATGAATGCATGTCAGGCTGCCTGCCAATCATGCAGCTGGCCAACTAAGGGCATACTATGCAGACAGCACCCTGAGCTTGGCATAAATGCATCTAATGATGCGCTCACTCAACGCTTTATAAGGACTGTCCCCTAGCACTCGCTGGTCCACTTGTCTCCTTACCTTCTTACTAGCAGGCAGAAGCTCCTGGTATATAGTCTGGGACAGAGAAAAGCTGTATGTAGTGAGTGTAGAAGAAAGGGAACATGCCACAGTGCTAGAGAGTCCAAAGTCAGAATTACCTTAAAGGATCACTATAGGGTCAGGAACACAAACATGAATTCATGACCCTATAGTGTTAACACCCCCATCTAGCCCCCCTGGGCCCCTCATGCCTCCTTAAATATAGCAAAATCTTACTGTATTCAAGCCTGAAGCTGTAACTCTGCATGCTGTTAGACTCATAAAAACAAGCAGTCTGCTCACATCATTAGAAGTGGTGGCCTAATCCAATCCCAGTGCTTCCCCATAGGATTGGCTGAGACTGACAAAGAGGCAGATCAGGGGCAGAGCCAGCATGATTCAAACATGATTCAAACACAGCCCTAGCCAATCAGCAACTCCTCATAGAGATTAATTGAATCAAAGAATCTCTATGAGGAAAGTTCAGTGTCTGCATGCAGAGGGAGGAGATACTGAATGTTTGGATGCATTTTAGGCAGGTATGACCCAGGAAGGATCTCTAACAGCCATCTGAGGAGTGGTCAGTGAAGTTATCACTAGGCTGTAATGTAAACACTGCATTTTCTCTGAAAAGACAGTGTTTACAGCAAAAAGCCTGACGGTAATGATTCTACTCACCAGAACAAATTCAATAAGCTGTAGTTGTTCTGGTGACTATAGTGTCCCTTTAACTATATTCATTGTCAGCCAGTCCACACAAGTTTTGTTCCCATATATCCCTCTTAAGTTTCCATACTTAAGTAAGAGTATGTGAAAAGTAGTTAGAGTTGCCACCTTTCTTGGAAAAACATACCGGCCTTGCTAATTTGCATAATTAAATATGTATGGGGTGACATCACATGATGTAAATCACAAGGAGTGACATAAGAGAAAATGATGTAAAATCACCAAAAACCTACTTAGTTTGATTCTGCTGTATAGATGGATTCCTCCCAGTGGCCCTATGTCTCCCAGTGCCCCCATGTGTTGATTACTCCAGGTCTCCCAGTGATCCTATGTATGACAGTGTCTCAATGCCCCATGTCTCCCTGTGTCCCCATGTATCCCAGGGTCCCCATGTCACTAGGAAGACGGGAAGATCTTGGGACTAGGGGAGACCTAGGGACACGGAGACACCAATGACACTGGGAGACTACGGGACTCTGGCTGGGACGCATGGGGACACTGGGAAAATAGGGGACACTTGAAGACATGGGGACACAGACACCAGGGACACAGACACTAGAGACACTGGCTGGGGGACATGGGGACATTGAGACATGGGGGCACTGGGAGACATGGGGACAAGGAGACACCAGGGCCACAGACACTAGGGACACTAGCTTGGAGACATGGGGACATTGAGACACTTGAGGCACTGGGAGACATGGAGGCACTAGGAGGCATGGGGACAGTGAGACACTGGCTGACTGGGGGCACTGGGAGACTAGGGGGCACTGAGACACCAGGGACACTGGCTGGGAGACATGGGGACACTGTGTCCTCATGTGTTTGTCTCATAATGTCTCCCAATGTCCTTAATGTGTCTCAGTGTCTGCCATAATGTCTCCCAGTGTCCCTTAGTGTCTCAGTGTCTGCCATAATGTCTCCCAATGTCCCTTAGTGTCTCAGTGTCTGCCATAATGTCTCTCAGTGTCCCTTAGTGTCTCAGTGTCTGCCATAATGTCTCCCAATGTCCCTTAGTGTCCCAGTGTCTGCCATAATGTCTCCTAGTGTCCCTTAGTGTCTCAGTGTCTGCCATAATGTCTCCCAATGTCCCTTAGTGTCTCAGTGTCTGCCATAATGTCTCCTAATGTCCTTTAGTGTCTCAGTGTCTGCCATAATGTCTCTCAGTCTCCCTTAGTGTCTCAGTGTCTGCCATAATGTCTCCCAATGTCCCTTAGTGTCTCAGTGTCTGCCATAATGTCTCCCAATGTCCCTTAGTGTCTCAGTGTCTGCCATAATGTCTCCCAGTGTCCCTTAGTGTCTCAGTGTCTGCCATAATGTCTCCCAATGTCCCTTAGTGTCTCAGTGTCTGCCATAATGTCTCCCAATGTCCCTTAGTGTCTCAGTGTCTGCCATAATGTCTCCCAATGTCCCTTAGTGTCTCAGTGTCTGCCATAATGTCTCCCAGTGTCCCTTAGTGTCTCAGTGTCTGCCATAATGTCTCCCAGTGTCCCTTAGTGTCCCAGTGTCTGCCATAATGTCTCCCAATGTCCCTTAGTGTCTCAGTGTCTGCCATAATGTCTCCTAATGTCCTTTAGTGTCTCAGTGTCTGCCATAATGTCTCTCAGTCTCCCTTAGTGTCTCAGTGTCTGCCATAATGTCTCCCAATGTCCCTTAGGGTCTCAGTGTCTGCCATAATGTCTCCCAATGTCCCTTAGTGTCTCAGTGTCTGCCATAATGTCTCCCAATGTCCCTTAGTGTCTCAGTGTCTGCCATAATGTCTCCCAGTGTCCCTTAGTGTCTCAGTGTCTGCCATAATGTCTCCCAATGTCCCTTAGTGTCTCAGTGTCTGCCATATTGTCTCCCAATGTCCCTTAGTGTCTCAGTGTCTGCCATAATGTCTCCCAATGTCCCTTAGGGTCTCAGTGTCTGCCATAATGTCTCCCAATGTCCCTTAGTGTCTCAGTGTCTGCCATATTGTCTCCCAATGTCCCTTAGTGTCCCAGCGTCTGCCATAATGTCTCCCAATGTCCCGTAGTGTCTCAGTGTCTGCCATAATGTCTCCCAATGTCCCTTAGTGTCCCAGCGTCTGCCATAATGTGTCTCCCAATGTCCCTTAGTGTCTCAGTGTCTGCCATAATGTCTCCTAATGTCCTTTAGTGTCTCAGTGTCTGCCATAATGTCTCTCAGTCTCCCTTAGTGTCTCAGTGTCTGCCATAATGTCTCCCAATGTCCCTTAGGGTCTCAGTGTCTGCCATAATGTCTCCCAATGTCCCTTAGGGTCTCAGTGTCTGCCATATTGTCTCCCAATGTCCCTTAGTGTCCCAGCGTCTGCCATAATGTCTCCCAATGTCCCTTAGTGTCTCAGTGTCTGCCATAATGTCTCCCAATGTCCCTTAGTGTCCCAGTGTCTGCCATAATGTCTCCCAATGTCCCTTAGTGTCCCAGCGTCTGCCATAATGTCTCCCAATGTCCCTTAGTGTCTCAGTGTCTGCCATATTGTCTCCCAATGTCCCTTAGTGTCCCAGTGTGTCTCAGTGTCTGCCATAATGTCTCCCAATGTCCCTTAGTGTCTCAGTGTCTGCCATAATGTCTCCCAATGTCCCTTAGTGTCTCAGTGTCTGCCATGTCTCCCAGTGCCCCTTAGTGTCTCAGTGTCTGCCATAATGTCTCAAATGTCCCTTAGTGTCTCAGTGTCTGCCATAATGTCTCCCAGTGTCCCTTAGTGTCTCAGTGTCTGCCATAATGTCTCCCAATGTCCCTTAGTGTCTCAGTGTCTGCCATAATGTCTCCCAGTGTCCCTTAGTGTCTCAGTGTCTGCCATAATGTCTCCCAGTGTCCCTTAGTGTCTCAGTGTCTGCCATAATGTCTCCCAATGTCCCTTAGTGTCTCAGTGTCTGCCATAATGTCTCCCAGTGTCCCTTAGTGTCTCAGTGTCTGCCATAATGTCTCCCAGTGTCCCTTGGTGTCTCAGTGTCTGCCATATTGTCTCCCAATGTCCCTTAGTGTCTCAGTGTCTGCCATAATGTCTCCCAATGTCCCTTAGTGTCTCAGTGTCCCCATGTCTCCTTTTGCAGCCTGCCCCATCCCTTACTTCCCTGAGCTGTAGGCTGTCTCTGCAGGGTGGGAGTTGCTGTCTGCTCTCTGTAGCTGCACCCCTGCAGATCAGTGAGTATAGATAGGCAGGGAGGGATATGCTGGAACTTCCTATCCCTGCCTGTCTCCACACACAGTGACCCCTACTGGCCAGTGCTGGTATTGCATAGTAATCTCTTGTTTATACTGAGAAAAATACCAGCATTTGTATTGCCAGTATCACTGCAATATAGGCACCAGCCAGGCAGCCTCAAATACTGGATGTGCCAATAAAATAAAAGCCAGGTGGAATCCCTAAGAGTAGTGTGTGGAAAAAAAAATGTAAAAAAAAAAAGAATTTTTTTTTTTTTTTTTTAAATAAATCAATGGGCCTAATCCATGGGCCTGGGCCTGGAGCTGCAGCTCCATCAGCCCCTATGTTAATCCGGCCCTGCCTGCCTATAACTCCTCCATATTACACTGCCTATAACTCCTCCATATTACACTGCCTATAACTCCTCCATATTACACTGCCTATAACTCCTCCATATTACCCTGCCTATAACTCCTCCATATTACCCTGCCTATAACTCCTCCATATTACCCTGCCTATAACTCCTCCATATTACCCTGCCTATAACTCCTCCATATTACCCTGCCTATAACTCCTCCATATTACCCTGCCTATAACTCCTCCATATTACCCTGCCTATAACTCCTCCATATTACACTGCCTATAACTCCTCCATATTACACTGCCTATAACTCCTACATATTACACTGCCTATAACTCCTACATATTACACTGCCTATAACTCCTCTTATTACTCCATATAACTCTCCAAAGACTGTTCCTTATTTCTCCATTATATCAATGTTATCTGTCTTGCAAAATTATTGTATAAAAATATGTTTTCATACACAGGAAAGCCGATTGAGATTTCCTGCACACGGTTGTTTGAAGGTTATATATTACATTTGAATCCAGCCACTTTCTGAATCATAAATATGCAATCGATTTTGTGATAATTTAGTAACAATTAACCTTTCTCCATTTAATCAAAAGCTGGAATAATTAGTGAGCAAAGAGTGGGCTGCGAATGACTTAATGAGCAAGCTTCCATTGGCAGTTACCCAGGACCAGGACGTACAATCGCCCTATTATTCAGAAACCCCTTTCCTGCAGGAAATGAGGCCAGCGCATACTCCTGTACAGGAGGAGGTCGGGGGAGAGAGGGAGTGGGAACCTGCAGATCGAAAAATCTCTATGGGATGATTTGTTTGATTACTAAACAAAGATTCTAGTAAGGAAATATCAAAGGGTGTAATCCGGAAATGCAATGTCACTCAGACATGCCAGAGTAACTCAATTTCGTGTTAACTATTCGAACACCAAGGCTGGGAGTATAAACAGCTGCATTTGAGATCTAGTGTAATAGAAAAATACAGTGTATAGTACATAACTCACTGCAGCAAGGCTGAAAACTATGAGAGTTTGGGTCCAATAGCAGCTGGAGGTCTCCAGTTGGGAACAAAGGAATACACAGAGAGATTCTAGAAGTCAGTCCAGATGCGGTCGTTGACAAGACTCCCACGGTGCTCAATTGATTAAAACACAAACAGGCAAAGTGATTTTAAGGACAATTTGTGATATTGGGTCATTGAATCTGGGATCAAACAATCGCCAATTCACCACATAGTAGTAATAACGAATATGTTCACACACAGAGAGATCACAGACTGGGGCCAAGCCAAGTGCAAGTTTAGCTGCAGGTAAAAGGAAAACTATAGAGATATTTACCAGACATCTTCCATTACAGAGACTAACAACGTGGAGCGTGTGCTAAACATACATTAATGGGTTACTCCAAGTACATGACCACTTCAGTGATTTGAAGTGGTCATGGTGCCTGGAGTCTGTATGTGCAGCATTTAGCTATGAGTTACCCCTCACCCCCCCTGGCAGCGTCATTGGGGCGTCATTAACCAGCCTGGAACAAGAGATCCAGGTCGGCTAATGTGAATTCTGTACATATTGGGCATATGCAGAGCATGCTGGCAGCAGTTGTCGAATGGCAGGATGTTCTGCCCACTTTGCACCCATATCTTCCCCTCACACCCCACGTCTGGTAAGGGACATCAGCAGAAGAGTATCGGGCTAATGGGATAACTTGGCCTTTGCGCTGGAATGGAGGGCCACTTTAACTTGGATTTTCTTTTCTATGTTTGGCGGACGATCAGGATAGGAGGGGTTACTCTAATCAAATGCATGTATTATGAAAAGGAGGATTTTCGTTGGAGCAGCACATTTAGATTTAGTTACTTTGCGTGCTTGCCTTGGAACCCTACACGTCTATTTTCACATAATAATCAAACCCAGGTTTTAAAGAAATAAATGTTTTATTAAATGAATGCCATGCAAATATGTTTAAATCTCCTGCTAGTAGGTAACAGGGACCCTCACACAGCCACTTTGTTGATGTATTTCAGTCGATCACGTTAATGCACATGGGAAGGTTATCTTCTAAAGGTGTGATTTAGGGCAAAACACGTTTCCATCTCTTTTTCCCCCTTCAGATAATGAGATGAAAGAGGAATTCAATTTATTATAGAGATGTATACAATTTGATTCTGACCATGAGATCGGTTAGGTGATTGTGTGGTGTATGGATACTGAAAGATTAAGACACATTCCATCCACTGGTCCACACGAAGTATATATATCTATACACACACACACACACACAAAATTTAATTTCTGTTATGAGAAAATAAGGTCTTGCAGCAGAGAAAGTGTTAATAACCCCAATTCCCAGAACGATATGAGGTGGATTGCAAACGAAATGTGTTTCTTCCTTTAAACACAGGAGGATAAACCTGAAGTACCCGTTGTTGGCAGGGAGGCTTGGACGGCACAGGGAGTGTAAACATTACACATAGCCTGTGGGAGGGAGACGGAGGTGAAATGAAGGTTAAGAAAATATATAAAAACACACAGAGCTGCTGGCACCCGGAATACATTCTGTGCACTTTGTTTTAAATCCCTCTCAAGGTCACCTTCAAAGTCCAGGCTAAGTCTGCATGGCTCACAGTTGGGGGTCGGTCCACTGGTGACTGTGTATTAATTATGACAATGACATGTTTAAAAGGCAGAAGACATGTCTAAGGATAAGTCCCTCCTAGGGTCACAGCAGATCAACGTCTGGTCAAACGTCAGATGCTTGGAGGATTCTGAGCTTAGATCTCTTATGGGGAAACAATATAAATAATCTGCTGGGAATGCAGACTGTTTGTTACTTTACTAAATGTTTTCAGTTGCGTAACGTCCGATGAGGGGAATACAATTTGGAAATGCATGAATACCTAGAAGCAAAATATTTAATGCAAACACTGAAATACCTTAAATGCTAGCTTGGTTAGGGTTGCATTCCACAAATGGAAATATTTGTGTAGATGCACGGTCAAAACCCCACAATGCTACAAAAATAATCTTGTTTGACGAAAGAACTTGCGTTTCGCCATACATCACTCTCTGCAAAATAGTAATGAGGCGTGCGGATATGGCTACAGACGACAGATAACATACCTTTTCGTTTCACAGAGGCGGACACAGGTGGCTGAGTGTCTTGGAATCGGAATAGGGCTCATTTAAAGGGTTAAACTAAATTACCCATTACCCCAATTCTTTAAAAACAAACTCGGTGCCTTGTGATGTCGTTCACCCCCCCTCAGGCATGATAAGTTCACCTTATGGCCAGCGCAATGGGTATCACCCAGGCTATCGGAAAGTAGAGATAGCCATAACGACATAGCCTTCACTTAACCTCACAGATCTGAATATCCCCCTATCCATAAGAAGACTTAACGATCCAGGTTTTACCGCGAGCACAAAACAGCGGATACACAATAGACAGGAGCATATGAACACCCCACTGCAGACACCGCCACTTATGACTTATCCAACACGGGGTGCCACACACACACACGAGCACGCAATAGCCCCGCATGGAAAGAGCACTCAACAACGGATCGATATGACACTCAGCAGCAGGCATACTGAGCACCCTCATGATTAGAGGGGGCTCACAATCCCTTGCAACACAGGGCTATCTGGGGATACTCACCTACTTATGTGCTTAGACCATCAGTTG